ATGGGCTCATTATGTATGCAAAAATAGCTTGTGAACACATTCTCATTAGAACTGACAGATGGATTACTATTTAACTCAGGACATCTTGCAGAGCCAATGAACTGAGTAGATTTTAGGGTCATGAGGTCAAAGATCAAAGGGTCATATATGTATATGAGAAATTGCTTGTAATCACGATATTCTGAGAACCTGTTAATGGATTACAATTGAACTTGAATTCGAAAAATGTCTTCTGTTTTGGTTTGTAAAATTGCTCTATGACGGAGGCATCATTTTCGACTGCGCGCAGTCGAATTCCATCTAGTTAAAATTTAAATCATCACTTAACAGCTTAATCTTATAATGTGTATTACATAACATTAATATTTTTGTTTTCTCTTGATCTTTCTTCACAGAAATCCTTCAATTGTCTTCCTATCTGTACCGTCTTAAGCATCTTAGAACACACAGCCATGCTTCAGAGATATCATACGCAATCAGCCTCGTCATCATCATCAGTACTCCAAAGCATGTCATCATCGAGAGAAACGTTGGACAGTATAGACGGAATGATTGGAAGCCTTGCATTCTTACTCTTGTACGACGCTGCAGTCAGAAATGTTGCCGATTTGGCAGGCAGGGAGGAGGAGTATGCAGTGGAGCTGTGGAAACAGGCCGTAGATTGTGTGACAAACTTTGGAGATGGGTCAGTCGGCTCACTTATAAACTGTGCACTCACTGCATGCAAAGGTATGGTAGATCTTTCATCTTTCTCTTTTCTTTGTAATCATTATAGTTATGTGTATTTCATGTAAGTATTATTCAATTAATAAATTATGGAAAAAAGAGGAGGGAAAAAAATCTTTCATTGTGGTTTATTGGCAACATGAAGTTAATGTTATGTACATGTCCAATCTTGACCCTTGATTACTTTGTGTTATGTTATCTGTCTGGAGTTATGAATTGATGCTTTATATTGGTTGTTTTGATTTGGTGAAAGTTTGAAATCATTCTTTGATAAATATTATAGCAAAACCTCACAATAATCTGTTTAGTCATTTTGCTTTTATCATCTTTACACTTGTGTGTTATGTATAATTCTGCTGTGACATGACCTTTGTTACCGTTAAACCAATGGAAAAAGAATTTCTGTTGTATGACAGATGAATCAATGAATTCAATTCAATTCAACATTTTCTTTCCAGGAACATCTGATAATGTCTCTGATAGTGTATGGAAAGAAATGATTGTGTGTACTGCTTGCCAATCAGATAATTGTGTCATGTGATCAAAGGATGTATTCTGTTAAAAATAAAAATTACATTATCTGCATGAGCCTCATAATGTATTGCAAATTAATAATTTGTTTCATTTTGATCCCTCCTTTAAAAGACCACTCAGACGACAGGCAAGTTGCCAAGGTCATAGTCCGTCTCCTTCAGACTGGGAGTGTGAAGAGAAGGATGCAGATACACAGTGGCAAACTCCTCGCATTGGTGCAGCTCATTGAGGTAATTAGTTTGTTTGTTTGTTTTACCCGACTGCTAAGAAAGCATGGGTATGCTGTTAGGTGAGCAACTAGGCGATCGACAGCTCCTCTCCGAGGGACTTATTAATGAGAATTAATGCCTTACCAAAGGACACTAGCGCATTGAATTGGTTTCAAACACGGGACCTTCTGGTTATGAGTCTCCTGCTCTACCAATGAGCTATCGCGCCTCAGTCAATTATGAAATCACACGCAGCAAAACCTTGTAAGAGATCATTTTGCTTTCATATTATTAAAAAATTTGTGTAGATCATAAAAAAAAGCATTGCATAGAGTGTAAAGAGTGACCCACATAGAAAGACAGATTTAAAATGCTCCATACATGTAGCTCTGTGATCAGGAACAGTAAGATTTGTTGGCCAGCATTATGATACCTTGTATTTTAATTCAACGTCTCTCATTAGTGCAGTTCAGTGAGGGAATTATGAAGCCACACGCAGCAAAGCCTCGTGGGAGATAACTTTGCTTTCATATTAGGATAAAAAACGAAATTGTGCAGAATTTTCAAAGAAGCATTGCATAGAATGTAAAGAGTTATGTACATTAAGTGACTAAAACAGAAAGACAAATTTAAAATGCTCCATAGCTCGGTGATCAGGAAAGTTAAGGTCTGTTGGCATGAACTATGATACCTTGTATTTCAATTAAATTCAACTTTCCTCATTAGTGCAGTTCAGTGAGGTATTGATAAAGTCACACAGTGTTGGAATGTCACGTTTTGCTTTCAGAAAAAATATGTGCAGAATCCAACAGAATTTTTAAGCCATAAAAAAATGGTTCATACAGCAAAAAGTTGAGTGATCAGGGAGATTTTAACGTTTTTGTTCTTTTGAGTTTATGTTATTATACCTGATATCCTATATTCTTACCCAATATGAATTTATAATATCTTTTCTTTTTGTTGCTTTCTTCATGTTCCAGGACAATTTAGCCGCTCCAAGCGACAGTAGATGGTTTGCAGAGCTGAAATATGAAGTCAGCCTTCTAGCAAAGGAAATTCAACTGGATAGATGAAATCAGCAAAGAGACATTCTAAAGTATTTCGCTTTACTGACAATGTGAAGGAAATTCCACAGAGCATCACCAGCTCAAAAATTGTTACTGTTAATTTTGGACTGGAATATTATAGTTATACATTTCTGAATCCATGATACCTATAATACTTCTTGAAAGTAGTAACGGGGAATATATTCAAAGCCAGATCTATTACACATTGTTGTTATAAGAAGTAAACCCAAATTTCGTCGGCCTTATGCCAAAAGGGCCTTAACTGCTTTTGGCCATTCCGAGATAATCGCGTTTAAAGGTTTTGGCCTCTCTAATAATCAAAAGTTTGTGGTCGTTTTTTTTGTTTTTGAAGCCAATTTTGATAAATATGTTAAGTTATTAAGTTTTACATGAAATGTTTAAAATGTGTTATAAAATATTCAGAATTGTACATGCTATGTGCAAAAAACATGTTAGGGCCTTTTTGGCATAAGGCTTGAATGCAGCGTATTTATGCCAGAAGGGCCGTAACCTACTCGGCATTGTGCCAAAAAGGGGCGTACGTAACCTACGCGTCGTTGTGCCAAAAGGGCGCGCATAGTTAGCGCCCTTCTGGCATGAGGAAATTTTCTTGTTTCGCAACACCTTTGGTTTGCCAGAAAGGCCCTCCTACGGCTATTGGATCACAAAAACTGATAAAACTGGTTAATTAAAATGTTTGAAAAAGTATTTTTGATATCTGAATATTTTATTAATATAATGCAGCTTTCGGTAAAGTTATTTCTTAGAGATCGTACATTTAGAACACCTTTTTCGTTGTTTATTTTTCATCACAGTCCCATACGTTGACATCTGCATATTTCAACGAGTCGGTCGCATTTCATGCATCCACACCTAATTTAAATCTCACTCAGATTTAATGATCTAAATTCATGACATATACTTGGAGTGATTATTTTAAGTACATTGTGTCTATTCTAGACTAATCATGTTTTTAATGGTGTTTCTACTGATATTTATTGAATTAAATGGAAATTACGAAATAATCTGTCATTGATAAAAGATTTGCCGTGTAGGTTAAGGCCCTTTTGGCGTAAGGAAAAAGATGAGATACGCGTTAAGGCCCTTTTGAAATTCATAATTATCTTCATAAATAAATTGAATTTCAACAAGGGAAGCACATCATTTTAAAGAGAATGATAAGATCTACAAGGTGATGTTAATAACTCAATAACCCCAAAAATCGGGTTAAGGCCCTTTTGGCATAAGGCCGACGGTATTGTGACTAGGAAAATATAGTTTTGTTGGAATATCTACTAGCACAGAAAGGTTAAATTGTACCAATCACCTGAATGAATTAATTGTGTAAAGCTAGAATGTTTCAAATCAACCTCAAAAACTCTACCTAGGATTCTATAAGTAAATGGTTTAATAAGAAGTACCAGTATGTGGAAGCTGAAAGATAACAAAGAAACCTGCGTATAGGGCTCGCTCAGAACACAAGTCGATTTTGGGTTCTGTGCGTGCCCTATTCTTTGTGCATTAACTAGTCTACTTCACGTTTTATTGTTCACTAAGAATGTATTTAAACTGCAATTTAATTTAAAAGGTTAAAGAAATAAGCTTAGAAGAAATAAAGTGTAGAAGAAATATTTGAAGCTCATTTTGTTACCACAGTATAGCAACATGGAACCCAATTTGAACTAAGATTTGGAGGCCATTTATGTATGAATTGAACTGTTGAGACAAAGAGTTTGCTGCCATGCTCTGACAGCTTGTCAGAGAGCCCTCCCCATAACTATATCTTTTGAATAAAAGCAAATACCAATATTACTTATACAAAGGTTTTATTTCTGCTCATTGTTCCACAAATGTGCACTTGTGTGTGTCTGTGCCATCACAGCTTTCTTTGAAATCAGGGCCCCGTCTGATCAAACCTGTTATCAATAACAAATACTAAATATCTATGACAAATTCGCTCTCAGCCTATCAAATACCACAATTTCAGTAGACACATGAGGAGAAAACACTTAGAAAAATTCACTATTTTTAAAGCAAAAAGGACTTTAAAAAATAGAACTCCAACAATAGATAGTCCTAAATGAAAGAATACTGATATCTTTTGTAGGAGAATCAACTTTGGCATGTACAAAGTGAATGCAAAGTGGCCATCGTTGTCTCACATGTGTAGACGGGTACATCGGATAAGAGAAATCAAATCCAGTTTTCTGATGGTCATGACCTATTCGGCAGTATGTAGAAAAGATGAGACATTGTAATGACTTCATAGGGGGAGCATTTTCTTACTTTTATTTTTTATTTTGTAAAATGTGTGTTGATACTTGTAATCGTATACAATGTATAATTATCCTACCCTTATGTGGAAGCTTAAAGAAGTTTAGTGGAAAAATACATATTTATTCTTTATATTTTATGCCACAAATAAATTGATTCTGAAGAACAAAATAAAAGAGGCTACATGTACTTGATTGATGCTGATTAAATTGTAGTTTATTGAACATACCTGCATGAAAAATACATAGTATCTTTCCTTGTATACATATACATAATACAGGTATATGTACTTAAGTTACATTGAGCTATTGTTTACTATTTATATATACATTTGACAGAATGTTACTTATCCCCTCATCAACATTAGATATTGCAGAAAAATATCTATGCATGACCAAAAAAATAAAACGACTTTTTATTAAGAAAAGTTTTAAGAAGCCCAACATATGTTTGTTTCTTTGATTTTAATCTTGTATCTAAACATCCCGAACACCCACCTTCAGCATTGTCCATGTAGTATAAGCCATGGGGTCATAATTATAGTGAAGAATGGTTCTACTTGGTACTTCTCATTTATTGTGAAGATCCTGCCCCACTGTCCTTTCTTAACACAGTGACGCAATAACAGAGACTTTCATTTTTCAGTCAAACCCGTCTATAGGAAAACACAAAAAGTGGTCTTTATAGACAGGTTCCTTTTTACATGTTTCAATGAGAAACCATTTTCAAGGGAAACATAAAATGTGTTTTTTGTAGATCAGTGGTCACTAAAGCAGGTTTGACTATTAACTCCAAGGCAAGAGATACACAAGGCCATTGAAACTGTCTTGAGTTGATCTGATGAAAGTCTCTGTGATTGTGTTTCATGTGGGTTTTACAGTAAAAGGTATGGGAAACTTTTTGTTAAAACCCATAAATTATAAAAGTACAATAATGACAAACCTGACACCATTATCAGGCAGAATTGTCTGACAAAATAGTCTTATAAATGCATTGGGATGGCTGTGTAACATTTACCAAAATTAACCAGTGCTGTAATACTTGGACTTGAGTCCAATTCTTTAGGAGTTGGACTTGGGCTTCTAGACATAAGGACTTGGCCCAATTCCAGGTCAAGTCAGGGATGAAATTTTAATGATTGTCAAAGAAGTTGAAAGACATCAGTAAATCATCAACCAACTACAGTGAACTCTGCATAAATCAAATTATCCCTAAGTCGGATCATTTTTTTTTTACCAAACTATGCGAAATGTATTATTTACATTTCCAATGTCAAATTTTGCACAAGTCATACTATTTTTGCGGTTCCAACAGATTTGACTTATGCAGAGGTTATTTTATCTTTAAAAAAAATGCATTTTATAACTATCTGTACTCGACTCAGAGGCATGAAGGAGATCTAGGCCAATTGAGTTCAACAAAGCTACTAGGACTAAAAATAAATCATGGATTCTTTTTAGCAAGCAACTTCTGGCCAGAGTTTCAATCAATCCTACATGCAACCCATTTTAATAAACCAGTGCCATAATTTAACTCAGCATTGTACAATAAGAAAGAATACATGTACATATAACAGATAGAGAGTGAACTAAGTCCACACTACATCTTATCCTTACGTATCCCAACGACTCTTACGTTTCGGCTTTGCCTGTTCAGCTGAGTTTCCACCAGCAGAGCTACTGCTAATACTGCTACTGCTGACCGCACTACCATGTAACCCACTAGTACCACTCCCGACTCCAAAATTGACCCCTCTCAAAGTCCAGCCATGGTTCTCTTCCTCCGGCGTGCTCTCATCCGGGTCTGGGACATCCCCATCCTCTTCACCTCTGACCTCCGACCCGTCTTCCTCACGACCTCTATCCCTTCTATCATTGTCGTGATGATCCCGTCCACCGCTGCTGCTGCGCCGTCGTTCCCCATGACTCCCTCCGGAGCTGCGATCACGTTCGCCGTGACTCCCTCCCGAGCTGCGATCACGGCCCACGTTGGATCTACGGACGTGGCCGAAGCTGACACTCGCCCCTCTCTCGTGACCTCTATCGTGACCTGACCCCTCACCGCCCTGTGATGATGATGGCGACATTGCTGATGATGGCGGCATAGCTGATGATGAGGAGGAGGTTGAGGCGGCTTGTTGCGATGGTATGTAGGATCTGTCAGGGTTTCAATACAAAAATAACTGGTAAAATTAATTCTTGTGTGATCAAGACACATTTAATTAAAAAGATAATGCATTTTGAGTGTTGACTTATTAACTCATTAATCAACTCATTATTGCTCATCAAAACCCAAATTACCTTCATTTCTTATTTCTTCATCAATCATATTTATTCTAATCAATATATTTATGTGTCATCACATAAAATGACATCGGCATCAATTTAAACATGTCTTGCTGGGACTACTTTTAGGCAAACTCATATTTATTGATTATATTCATTGCATCTAGTGATGTTTTCTTTAAAGACCCTATCGGAAATGAAAAATTGAATAGATGAATTACATGGCCAACTTGGGTGCCGTTCCATTTGTGTTCCCAAAATCTCTAGTTAAAGGGGTACTTTTCCCACAACAAAGTCTGGCACGTATTGACTGATACACACCGGAGATAGGGGATGCTTTCAAAGGGAGAAAACGTGCATATGCGTACCCTAAATAACACTGAGTGGGGGGGGGGGGGCAGGGTTCCTTGAGAGGGCTTTTTATTCAATACTTAATTTTCATCATGAAGCATGCAGGGAAGAGTTTTTTAAGGATGATTTTCTTTATTCTAGCTATACATGTAAACAACTTATTTGTTTAGGTGTTTGGTACACTTCAATTACATCATCATCTGACTGTCATCTCCACCATCCACCTACCTAACCATAGGAGCCATGGCAGAGTACAGTCCACCTGTGCTACTGCTGACTTGACTGCTACTGATGTATCCTCCCCCACCCAGGTGGGATGCAGGGGCGGGGAGGGGCTGGTGTCTGACCTGCTGGGGAGGGGGAGGCTGATGCTGGGAGGAGGGTCTCCCCCCTACTGCTTTGTTGTTACCAGATTCAAACTGGGTCGGGGTTCGGAAGGACATGTTGGACGTGGACGGCGAGGAAGTGGAAGCCACAAAATGAGACTTGAACTGATTCTGGAAATAAAGTAGAAAATTGTGTTAATAGGTTAAGAAAGTTTCATGTTACAGCAAATCCGTGTACAGTGGAAAATTATTTTAACAAGGTCATATTGACCAAGGAAGTTACCTTGTTATATCAGGGTAAAAAAAAAAGAATAATATTAAGAGCCGAGACAAGCAAAATCACCTTGTTATAACAGATACCTCGGTATATCAGAGCTCTTTATAATGAGGTTTCACTGTACAACTCTTGTTTAATACAAAGTCACTGGAACTCTATACTCCTGTACAATATAAAGCCTGAATAGGTTGGCGTACAAGTAAAATGGCCTAAAATTGGGCAAAAACCTGAAAACTGTCTTCCCTGTATTTAGTTGATTATGGCTTGATTTCACTCTTTTTCAGTTGGCTAAAAGCGTGGAATCAAAAGCATAATGATTAATAATCATGTCTTGCTAAATAGAAAACTGCTTTCCGTTTATCTTGCCAAGCGACAGAATTATCAACAATCACAACCATCTCAATTTCGCTTCCAATTTCAACCATCTTAAATACTGTAATGGTAACTAATCAAATGTATACAGGGGGGTGTTTCACAAAGATCCTAAGTCAGACTTAACAACTATGAAAAGCTGTTATCATCTATGAGAATAATTTGTAAAAGTTATCATGAAAGGCATAAAAGGTTGATTCGAATCATTCATATTTTCTATTATCAAGGAGATTTCATGTTCTTGATGTGGAATTTATAAAAAGTCTAAAAATACTTGAATTTTCGCTTTTGAATATATTTTATTTGATGGCTACAAATGGCTCTCCATAATCTTAAAGTCCAACTAAGAGTTAAGTTTGACTTAGGATCTTTGTGAAACACCCCCCAGATGTGAATGTAGACTTACAGAGAAAGCACTCTTCATAGCATTTAGTCTGTTGGTATAGAGGCTTCCTACACCTCTATTCTCTTCATCTCCATCTCCAGAACCAAGAAATTCCATGGATGACCCACCAGCACCGCCTCCTCCCGCTCCTCCTCCTCCTCCTGCTCCCCCTCCTGATCTGAATGATGGTCGCTCACGGTAACCGAGTCCACCACCTCCAATGTTAAGGCGCTTTCCCTTGCCAGCCCGGTAACGAGACTTCTTGAAGTATTGATTCTGAAGAGGAAACCGATACAGAACCGTCAGTGTCTCCCACTCTAAATTCTAAAGTTAAATTTCTGTTTCATTCTTTTACGTTGCATTTTCATCATATAATCTGAAAATAATCATCAATGCTTTCCTAGCAGAATTTGTTCTTGACAATCTTAGAGGTTTTCTAAATGTTTCTGTACAAGGAAATAATTATGCATACAAAATATGAAGTAAACAGCTATGTGGAATGCATTGTGACTACAGGTAGTGACAGTGAAATCAAACCTTGATAGCAAACTACTCTAGATGAAAGCAGAAATATTAGAATGTTATGAATTTCAAAAATTGCTAATCACTATAGGTATGGGCTCTTCAAATTGGTTGAATCAGAAATGTCTCCGTAATGTAGTGGGGGACAACTTTCCCATTTGTCAACACACAAAATGGCTACATTTTCAATTTTTATGACTCAAGAGGGTCTATTCTTCATAGAGGACTCATAATAATTTTGAGTTGTGCCCCAACTAAAATAAATAATGTTTGCTTCTTGTACTAGAATGTAAAGCCTATAGAGGAAACTACCTATAATAATATACCGGTATATAATATATACCGGTAAATGTACATATAAACATATCATTCATACCTGCATTGCAAGGTCTAACAATGATTTGGGTACTGCTTGATCAGCGCCCTCTAAGTTCCGCACAAGGTCACCAGCAAACTGATTGTCTTTCTTGAGGATGAGTGTGTATGCTGTTCCCTTCTCGCCTGAAACAGAAAAAAAATAACTCCTCTTGTTAACTCGAGCCCAAATTGCGATAGACTCTTTACAAAGTGCCTACAACACCTGGCTACTAATTCTAAATGTGTAGCCAGCCTACAGATAGATATAGAAAGCCTTCCTTAGACTTTCCAACATGAACAATCTACATTTGGGCTTTTGTTTCATTCAAGCCTGTGAATGCAGATAAGAAGGAAGCATGAATTGAAATAATTGTGGTTAAAATTCAATAACAAAATACTGAGCAGTGATTATTAGTTAAGTCTATCGACTAGGATTGACATGCTTTGCAGTACCGGTATGTGTTCCATATGCACTGTTGAAGAGACAACAGTCAAAATGTGCCAATCCTATGTGGCAGTCCATAACTTTTTCCATTAGTTAGTCAAAGCTTGTAGAGTTACAGTAAAAAAATTTAAAAAAAGCAAGGAAATGTTTATAACATTTACAGCCTTGTGGCCCGAAACTACTACCCCTCTTTTTCCTATTGATCTATAATTGTTTTAATTAACAATAAATTTACAATATATAATCAGTACAATCTCAATACAGGAACAAAATTTACAAACTACCATCTTTATCTCTCAACAAATATCAATGTTGATTTAACGCATTTTCAGATTCTTACGAAATGAGATGAGAAACACATAAACAGTGAGAATGACTAGGTATGTATTTACCTGCACGTCCTGTTCTTCCTATCCTATGGGTATGGGTATCGATGTCTCTGGCCACATCGTAGTTGACCACATTCTTGATTGAAGGGATATCTAGACCTCTCGCTGTCATGAAAGAAAGAAACATGAAGATGATTACATATAGTTCCAAATGACATCATAGTTGACCACATTCTTGATTGAAGGGATATCTAGACCTCTCGCTGTCATGAAAGAAAGAAACATGAAGATGATTACATATAGTTCCAAATGACATCATAGTTGACCACATTCTTGATTGAAGGGATATCTAGACCTCTCGCTGTCATGAAAGAAAGAAACATGAAGATGATTACATATAGTTCCAAATGACATCATAGTTGACCACATTCTTGATTGAAGGGATATCTAGACCTCTCGCTGTCATGAAAAACAGAAACATGAAGTTGATTACATAAAGTTACAAACGACATCATGGTTGATTACATTCTTGATTGACGGGATATCTAGACCTCTCGCTGTCATGCAAAAAGGAAACACGAAGATGATTTATACATACTCGCTTACAAATACTACATTTTATTTGCAAGCCAGAGGTGGCCTATGGTCCACAATTTGAAAAGCGCTGATCACCATATTGAGAGAAAATCATGATCTACAACATTATGCACATTAACGTAATATCCAAAAGATAAATCACCTGCAGAAGAAAGAACAGGCATTGTCTACAAGATGCATTGATTGTGACAATTCCTATGTTGGAGAAACAGGGAGAACACTGAAAGAAAGAACGCAAAAGAGCCCTCAGATTGAGTAATCCACCTCATTCAGCAGTAGCAAAACACATCTTTAATACTGGACACAACATATGATGGGATGATGCCCATATTATTGACTTTGAAACATATTTCTGGTCAAGAAAGGTGAAAGAATCAATCTGGATAAAAAAGATTAAGCTTGCCTACTAAATTTTAAGGTTGGTAGAAGCTTAAACTATATCACTAACATCAGACCTGCCAACCTCTGGACTTCAAAAACTGTATTCTTTAATCCCAAATGTTGTATTTTACTGACAAAAGTTGTATTCTTCAAAAAATATATAAAATGTTACACGGATCAATGCTTCTTACAGTTCTTACGTACAGGGAGAAATTTTGTATGGATCATTGGTTGAATATGCATGATTTCGTCATGACTAGCGTGTTCGATGAACCAATGAAAATCCCCACATTGCCGAAGTGAGATGCTTGTAGGATACTTTACAGGACAGAATGGGCATTTTGCATAGCACACACAATTTAAAATTTAAATTAAAAAAATAATAATAATAAAAAATTGTTGTTGAAAATCATATTTTATTGAGGAAAATCGTACTGTCGTATTTGCTTCTAAAAATCGTACTAAATATGACTAAATCGTACTGAATGGCAGGTCTGTAACATGCAAAGCTTACCTGCTACATCTGTTGCTACTAGGATTGGGATGGCTCTCCTCTTAAAAGCAGTGATGACTGAATTTCTTTCCAGCTGATTCATGTCTCCGTGAAGCAAACCAACTGAAATTCAAAAGCAAGAAATTATGACATTGAACTAAAATATAGAGATTATTGCACGGATTATTTGAACATTTTTTCAAAATAAAATGATATTTATCCCTCCACAGGCTACTCAATCTTCCTCTGTGTTACAAAACAAATCAATAACTATTGTATACATTTCATCCTTTTTTCTTCCTCTTAACGATTTTCAAATTTCAGTATCTCTTTCCCTCTCCTTCTTTCTTTCTCCCACCTCCGTCTTTCACTCTGTTAACTGTCATCGCCACCACCATCATCATCATCATCATCATCATCATCACCACCCATCACCATCACCACCACCATCATCACCACCATCACCATCATCATCATCATCATCCACATCATCATCATCATCATCATCATCATCACCATCATCATCATCATCATCATCATCCACATCATCATCATCATCATCATCATCATCGTCATCATCATCATCATCATCGTTTTATCATCATCGTCATCATCATCATCATCATCCACATCATCATCATCATCATCATCATTCACATCATCATCATCATCATCGTCGTCATCATCATCATCATCATCATCACCCACATCATCATCATCATCATCATCATCATCGTCATCATCATCATCATCATCGTCGTTGTCGTCATCATCATCATCGTCATCCTCATCATCATCATCATCATCATCATCGTCATCATCATCATCATATCCTTCTTTCTTTCTGTTTGTTACTTCTTTATTTTTCAATATTCTATCGCTGTTATTAAATCTCTGTCTCTCCTTACCATCAAAATCTTTTCTTTTAAGGCTTGTAGCTAGCTCTTCCGCATTGATTTTCTTTGTGACAAAGATAAGAACACTGCCCTCTGTGGTGAAGCGAACAAGCCGAGAAAGGAGCCAGGGAAACTTCCTGGTTTGATCGCTGAAGATTTCTACAACTTGAGTTACATCTTGGTTGGCCTGTTGACATAAACGGACATAAAAGAAATCAATGACGTCCTTAAAATACATGAAATCAAGAATACATCTTCACAATAGTTGTCTACCTTAGCTAGAATGTCTGTATATAAACAAAATATGCAAAGAAAAAATATTGTGAGATGTTTGTTTCTCATACTTTATGCCAGTATGGACAGATTCCAGGGAAATTTTGAGGCAGAACTTGACAACAACATTCATATAAATTTGCTATTTTACCATGTGGATAGTCCTGAAAAGGACTGTTGAGTTTGAATGAGGTGAAAAGAAAAGAGAGTGCGAGAGAAGTATTATTTTGGTTTTGTCCTTTGGAGGACTACTTGATATTGTTGGGAGGGGGGTAGAGAAATTAAGAGAGAGAGGTATTCTTTCATGACTATAGTCCTGAAAAGGACTAATGAGCTAGGTTATGAAGGCAGAGAAAAAGAACAAGGCTCGACGTTCAAAAAAAGGTAAACTGTTTGTTTTATGTGGGTGAAACCTCAAACTTTCTATGATAATGATAATACTGATTATGAAGCGCATTTATTGAATAACTTACTCAAGGCGCAATACAAAACAAAATACACAAATCTCTCTCCAGAGAATTTAACAACAAACTAACAGTAGTAACTTTGAGTAAATAAAACCTTTTTAACATGTTTCTGAAAGGTTTCTAGGCATGGAATGTTTCGAATAGCACTTGGCAGCTTGTTCCAGAGGACTGGTGCAACATGCACAAATGCACAATCCCCATAATAGGTGGTTTGGGTTCTGGGGACTTCTAGGATGGTAGAGGCAGAAGAACGGAGTGAGTAATGAGAGGTGAGGAGATCATTCAGGTACTCAGGTGCAGTATTGTGGAGTGCCTTAAAGACAAGCGTTAGGATTTTGTATTCAATCCATTTTTTTAACTGGGAGCCTGTGGTAATGAATTTCAGGAAAGGTGTAGTACGAGAAGCTTACCTCTCCAATGTCTCCCTGTATAACTCTGATAGGGTCTGTCAGGATGTCTCTAGCAAGGCGTTCTACCTTCTTCCTAAAGGTAGCACTGAACAGCAGAGCTGAAACAATGAGAGAAATGCAAACAAAATTAGGCAAAAAATCCAAGCAAAAGATTAATCCTTTTCTTCATAGTACCTTATCACAGTACTCAACATTCTACCTAGACATACAGTTAACAAGTAAATTATTCATACCCTTACTAAGTTTTGTTATTTTTTAAGTACGGGAAAATTCATTTGTTCTGATTTATGTTTCTTGAGATGAAATAAGGCCCTAATTCAACCAGTCCACCTGTCATTTTTGAGTTATGAAAAACAAGAAAAACATCAAATTTACAATAGGTATGAATACTTTAGTTGTAACTGTATAATGCTGAATAGAGGAAGTTGAGATCACTGATAAAGCTTCTTATATGCAATTAGTATGATGCATTAACCTTTTACCGGACACTTAACAGTATTTCTTTGTACTACAAAAAAGCTTCTAAATGAAATGTCCTGAAGCGGTGAATCTGCATTTAGCGAGGATCGTCAAAACAATGGAACCATTTAAATTGTTAACGTGTCTGTGAATTGGAAATGCACATTGCTGTACGCTTGTTGCGCTGGGTAACGGCACGTTTGTCTACTGGTCAAAATACGTTGACCTTGCGATGCATAACACTTTACTTCTGAAGATATACAGCCATTTACGGGGTGTCCGGTATGAAGAGGCGTCCAGTATTAGGTTAAGTGACCATTATATATGATAGTCACATATTGACCAATGTCTATTCCTCAGACTGCTGGTACGATTTGATTATAAAATCAATCTTCTTGTTTGGATAAGAATAACGATATGCAAAATGATCTAAACTAATTTGTGTGATTTTGAGTAATTTCTTTTTGGTACACTTACTCTGTCTGTCTGGTCTCACATGATCAGCTATTGACCGCACTTGAGGCTCTAAAAAGAAGAGGAAAAAAACAAGGATATTGCACAAATCATACATATCTTACTAAAGGGAAATATGACATAAATTATAAGATATGAAATTTCCAGGGCTATGTAGAAAGAAAAAATTCTTAATTTCTTTTAAAAAGTACAGCTACAAAGAGAAGCAACAAACCAATCCATATCTAAGAGAGCAAACCAAGTAGCGTTTGAATAAATCAATACTAGAATGTATTCTTTTCTGAACAGCATAACAAATTCAATTATAGCCATACCATAAATCAAAAGCATATCAGGCAGCACGATAATTAAGTGATATATTAAATGACAATTTTTTCTTGAAAGTGATAATTGGAAGATCCAAGGCAAATGCAATGCACAAGTTTCATGATTAATTTTTTTATGGAAAAAAAATAAAAACATGAAAACATTCATTAAGAAACACAAACACCTAACACCTGGATGAAGAGTATCAAATGTAGATTAACGTCATGCCAAAGGGGGTTAGTCCGGGCTGGGATTTGATACCCGTACCTTGTGATCTGCAGTCAGTTGACTTACATGTATCCCCTAAACCACAACACCTCTACATAAACACAATGACAACTTACCAAAGCCCATGTCAAACATCCTATCAGCCTCGTCGAATATGAGATAGGATACTCTGCGCAGGTTGGTTGCTTTCTTCTTTACCAGGTCAATCAAACGACCCTACAAATAGAGAACAACATTCAAACATCACATCACAATCAGATCAAACTGAAAACAATCTTTTTCTTTCTAGCTATACATATGAGATAGATAATGCATTATAGTTCCCATATAATCCTTTTTTGTGCAGCACTGTATGGAGATTTTTATATTTTTATTAGCGGGGAAAAATAGGCATATAGCACTTGAACTGGCTATCATCTATACTATATTTCAGGTAAATTATGTACATCATTTTTATCTTTATTGGCAATTTCACAGTATCACTAAAAAGGAAAACATAATTCAAACACAAATGTCAGATATGCCCTGATGTCATACAGATCTATTTACATTAATTTTTGTGTTTGTGTAGTTGTATGTGTGTGTGTCTAAACTATCTGCAATTCTCTTAAGTATATCATCATATATCATATATTTCTGGAGATAAGCCTTTGATAGGCCTTTTGCCTTTGTATGTACCTCCAAATTTTCATATGTTTCTTGTTTTTCTATCTGTTGTAATTTTGTACTATACTTTTTATTGTTGTTGAATTTCTTTCACTACCTATACTACATGGCTATCAAACAGGTTGTTTTGTATGAGTTTGTCATTTTTATTGAATTGTGGATTAAATAAATTGAATAGAATTAAATTGAACTTACAGGTGTAGCGACGATGACCTCTGGCCCCTCCTCACATGCCCTCTGTTGTTCATGCATGTTACCGCCTCCATACGCACACACAACGTGGATGTTGTACGCCTTCCCAAACTTCTTCACCTCCATATAAATCTGAGAAGGGTATCAATTTTTCTTTTTGTTATCAAGGTACAAGGCTTGATGGTATATTATTAAACTTGGCGTGTAAATAGATACACAAGGGGTGGTCAGTAAACTCCTTAATTTACACATGAACTTAAAATAATGATTAGGAAAATAATGATGCTGATGATGATGATGATGATGACGATGATGATGACGATGATGATGATGATGATGATGTGTTGAAATGACGATGTCAATAATGATTAGGAAATAGGATGATGACAATGACATTGAATAATTAAGATAAAAAAGACTATTATGGTGATGATCACTATATTATCTCTGCAAATGACAAAAAAATAAAAAAAGAAATGGATAATGATTTTGATGGGTGTTTATGATAATGATGATCATCATCATCATCATGTTGAAGATGATGTCAATGATGCTGATGTGAAGATTAAACTTTTATGATGAAGATATCGATCAGTTTGATGAAAATGGAAAACAAATTGATCATAGTATACATAAAGATGTTGGTTATTGTGATGATTACAAAGGTATTGATTGATAAACATAATGATAGCAGTTATGATAGCAATGTTGTTATTCATGATTATCATGATGGTGATGTTGTATTTGTTTGATTTATTGAGATTTAAAAAATCATCAAACAGGCAGCTAAGAGCAGAAGTTGTTCAATGTACAGAGTATAAAGTACATGGCATTAAAGCACACTGATAATATTGAAAACTCAATATCAATAAAAGAAATTGATAGCACATTAAAAGATATTGAAAACTGTTTGTTTTGGGTAAAACAGAAATTTAAGAATTGAAAATTTAAAAGTTTACTGCAACAATCGTGGAGTAGGTAGCCCACAAAGACTGATAGAGATTGTGATAGAAGACTAATATGATGACAATATATCATGATGATATTGAGGATTAATTTGATGCAGAATGATACAGAATTTCTGATTACCTGTTGTGCAAGTTCTCTGGTAGGGGCACAGATAAGTCCTATAGGTCCATCCCCTTTTTTGATTGCTCTCTGAATGAAAAAGAAGACAAGCCAAAAATAGTGATAATTTCTTACTTCAATTAATGCAATAAAGAGAGAGTTTTACACTAACATTGAAACTCACCAATTTTTAAAGATTGGTCACTGCCGCAAAATGATTCACAACAATTAATTTTGTATATTCATAGTAGTCTCTTGCCATGAAAACAGCCATCAATAATTATCCAAAAAAAAGCATAGAACTGTTTTTTCCTCTTTTCATTTTTTTTATTTCAATGCAACCACTTCTGCATAGGTAGCAGAGAAAGTATTGCAGCACTATTTTCAATGTAAATGGCAGGTAGACAGGAACTTGTACAGATTGCATATTTCCTTTGATAATGATCAAAATCATTGCTAAAGTTGATCTAAGCATGGATAGCCCATAACAGCATTAAACTCTTAAAGCAGGACTGCACTACTTGTAGCTACTTGGGCCCTCTATATAGCAAACAATGCCTAAACGGGTACCCTTTGATCCCCATGGTCCCTTTTTTCTGATGTTAATTGAGAGCTGATTTGACAAGATAACCACCTGTCAGTGAACACGCAAGGAGGTCTAATCCCTACTGGCCAAACTAGTGCAGATAGGCTTTACACTAACACAAATCTACTTGTTTTTATAGTACTTGGATGAATGTTATTTTCCTCACCTGGTCCATGATGTGTACCAGCATAGGCCACACGAAAGCAGCCGTCTTCCCACTGCCTGTCTTAGCAATACCGATCACATCACGGCCACACATGGCAATGGGAACACCCTGATTAAAAGAAAATATGATACACATGTATGAATGCAGGAGTCAGAAGCAGTCGCAATCATCAATGTCAAACATTTTAGCATTAATAATCATTGATTCTCCTTGAATATCAAATTTACAATTACAAGAGTAAAATCTCATTTACAAATGATTATATGATATACAATAATTTTTGAATTCACACTTTAACCCAATATTTTGATCCATTCTTTTCCGATCTAAATTCTATATCATTTTACAAATACATTATCACTATCACTATCGCTATCGTTAACGCCATTACAACCTCTACTACCCCAACATCACTACTATTATGATACCTACCACAATAACACTATTACCACAACTACCGTATTTGCCGGCGTAAAGGCCGCACCCCCGCATAGGCCGCACCCCCGATTTTGACATTTAAAAAAAAAAAAAAAAAAAAAAAAAAAAAAATCCTTTTTTTTGTTTTGTTGTTGTTGTTTTGCTGCCGAAAACCCACGCGTGGAAGGACCTTCATTTAACATCGAGGTTCAGTTGAAGACGCTGATTTGTGCTTGTAAACTTGTCACAAATAATAGTAACAATGTCGTTTTTAGAAGAATGTGTAAGATCATTAATGTGAATTAAAAACAATAAAGTACCTATGGTACCAGTGGTGTACCTTGTGGTACACCATTTGTTATAGAAAAAAATTTGAGGAACTATTATTATAAACTACATATTGAGATCTATTAGAAAGATTACTTTCAAACCAAGATGACAGTCAAATTTTAGTGTTGTTGTAGTTTCCGAGTGGTGAGTCAACACACTGATTACTGAGCTGGGAGACATTGCCAGGCATAGCGCCATAAATCGAAACTAAAAAAAAAAAAAAAAAAAAAAAAAACTTTTTTTACTCTTTCGGCGCATAGGCCGCACCCCGACTTTTTGATATTTTCTCTTCCAAAAATACTGCGGCCTATACGCCGGCAAATACGGTACTAACATAAACACAACTACCACAAATGATCACTACCGTAGTCCACAATCAAAAGCATATCTATATCACTACCACACCAACAACCCCATCATCATCACAATACCATAATCACTAACAACATAACAACAACCTCTATCAATTCTCGCTATCGCCAATAACTTAAAAATACCTGTAAGTTAAATTCAGGCCCCATTTCAAATGCACTATTTGATAATTTGGTGTCCAAGTCACTTCCTGTCTGGTCGTTGATTTGATTTGGAGTATCTTTCTCGTTTTAAGGTTGCTGCCATGAAAAAAATTTACGAACCTAGAAATGGCTTTCAGACACATACGTACATTGCGCTTAATGCATAATGCATGCACACGGGCCGCTGTACACTGGAAATGCCTCAAAATTACAGCCAAGAGGCTACATTGGGCATTTTAGGCATATTGGCGATGGCGAGAATTTTCTTGGTCTCTACCACGATCCTTACCTGTGCCTGGATTGGGGTAGGGCTAGAGAAATCTGATTTCCTGATGCAGTGCATTAGCTGCTCATCAAATCCAAAGTGAGCAAAACTTGTTACTGGCTTAGGAGGATCAGCTCCGGACACCTGGGAAGAAAAGGGGGTGGCAAAAGATCAAAACAATTTCAAAAGTAGGCTTAACTGTTGAATACCTATAATGCAAGTGGTTTGGGTATACATATACCATAATAGGTATAGGTATGAGTAATGAATATTGTGTATTGGGTAATTGGTAATTGGTATTGCATAATGGGTATTGTGTATTTTGTATTAGGTATTGGGCAATGGACATTGGGTAATAGGTATTGAATAATAAGTGTTTGTTAATGGATGATGGGTAAAGGGCAATGGGTGTTGAGGGTGGGGTGGGATTTGGGATGGCATTAGGGTTAGGATTAGGGGAAAATAATTCATTTCTTTCTACAAAAAACACACAAAATTTACACAGAATAATTCATTTGTTAACTGTACATAACCAAGTTGCACTCTGTAGTTGCAAACCTTTGTTTATCTTTGTCCAGGGCAGCGTCTCATGATACCGTCATAAGTACGAGTTCAACGACATCCTATTGAAATGCGTGTTAAATTTATTACATGCATTTCAATGGAATGTCGGTGAACTTGTACTTATGATGGTTTTGTGAGACGCTGCCCTGGTGCTCAACTTACCTTGATATTGAGTTTCTGGCGTAGATCCAACACAACCGAGTAGTTGAGTGTTTGGATGGACTCATGCTCATTGTAGAAATTCTTGTTGAATGGCTCATAGTCAACCTGCAAGTATGAAAAACAGAAAAGTATTCATTTACCTCCATTTAGCCCTGGTAAAAAAAAACAATATGATACTTTGTAATCACTGTGAGAATATCGCACTTATACAACACAAATCCTAAAAGATCTCTTGCAAACAGTACAGCATATTTTACACTGATTGGACCAATCCTGCAGCTGTCTACAAGGGCCTGGAACTTGTACACTAATATCGGAGAACGGCGACATGAAAGAGAAATTATCAAAACAAATCTGTCCTTTTTCCCTTTTTTTTACTTATCTGACCCTTTTCATCTTACCATAAGGTACTTAAAAGGAAATTTTCAGTACAAAATTATAGAAGAGTCAATATCACCAAAGGAAATTGACGAGGGAAATCTGAGAAAAAATTTATAATGGAGAAGAAAAATAACCATCCTTTTAGATAGAGTTATTGACATATCATTATTTGTAGTATGAAGAAATGGTATGAGTACCATAGAGTGGTCTACTGGAGGCAGTGGGTCGATGATCTTTGACCTCTCTGGAACTATGGGATTGCCGTCAGCGTCATAGTCGATAGGTTCATCTTCATCATTGATAGGGAGAGTGTTCAGACCTGCCTCAGGGTTGTCCTCCATGTATTTCATATATGCTTCCTGAGAAGAAGAAAAATGTGGTAAAAATGGTTAGATATGTACACGGATTACACTCAGTAAATAAAGAAAAAGGACATTATTTATAGTTAAAGGGCATTCTAACCGTTGTTATAAGTAGATTTGTATGAAAGCAGAAAAATAACAGAAACAGAATGGCAAAAGTTTGAAATGAATCGGTCAAATAGTAAGGAAGCTAGGAGTGTTTGATATATGAGATCACTAAGTCTATGCAAATCTCAAATTGGTAGTTTGGTTAGTGGATTGTGACGTAGGATGTGGATAACTCTCCCACTTGCCGTGTACAAAAATATCACTAATTTCTCTTTTTCTCATACGTTCCTTCTCCCTTGGGGCACTACTCAAAATATATTATAGATAGCATATTATTATATGTCCTCTATAAAGAATAGACCCTCCTGAGCCAAGAATTTTTGGAAAATTTAAATTTTAGTCATTTCATATATCACATTGACATTACCGCTTCGGTCTATTTGAAGTGCCCATACGTATAGTGATTACTACTTTCAAAAATTCGTAACTTTCTTTTATTTAGTCAGATTTAATTGAAACTTTTATCAGTTTGCTTCTCTGAACTTCCTGCTTTCGTTTAGAGTTGGATTTCCCTTTAAGATTTTAAACAAAAAATTAATAAAAAATAAACATAAATTAATCCTCTTTAATACTTCTCTCCATATTATCCATCTACCCCTATATATGGCATTCGGTTTTCTGCTCTCCCTCCCTCTCTAAATCTCACTCTCTTTGTTTATTTTCAATCTTAGAATTGTATCTTACCATTTCATCTAGTTCTTCAATGTCGTTTCTGGTTGCCTTCTGTGCTTTCTTGCTCTTCTTTGCCTCCGCATCTTTTTCTTCCTTGGTTAATTCAACCTGGCAAAATATAAAAAAGACTTGGTTGTGATATATCATAATAGAAAAATACCTAGATTTTTGGCAGTGACAGCATAAAGGAAGCAGTGTTGATTAATGCTGTATGATCTTTCTGGTTAGTTACAAGCCGGTTAACCTACCATACAAAGAAAAAGCAGTTTATGGTTTATCCTTAGAAAATAATCCTCATGAAATTATTCATTTCTTTCATGATATTAGTAGTTGACACATTTCATTTGCAATTGGTCTCACACTCTCACTAAACTCTTTAAAGAAATTAAGAAATAGGCATATTACTAGGCATAGTAAATGAGAGATGCATGAGGTTACACACATAGAATAGTAAGAATACCATGCTAGTCTCTCATTGCAATTACTGGAGTAGAAAAGTAATATTTCTGCCTGCTATAAAATGAAGAGAAAAAAAAAGTCAACTTTCTCTTTCCTATCTCTTTCTCACTCCTCCCTTCATCAACCTCACCTTAATCCTTGCTCTCCTCTTTCTTGGGTGCTTTCTTCTCTTCCTTCTTCTCCTACCCCTTTCCCTGATCTGTCCTCCTTCTCTTTATCTCTTCCCCGTTCTCTCCCCCTTCATTTACCCCCCCCCCCCCTTCTCTCTCTCTCTCTCTCTCTCTCTCTCAACCTCACCTTTATCCTACCATGAAGGCATCTTGTAGGTTCTCTTGTTCATCACTGCACTCTTCTTTCTTCGGCTTCCCCCTTTCCCTGATCCTTCCTCTTCTATCTCTCGCCCCCTCCACCAACCCATCCCCACCCCTCCGTCTCTCTCACTTAACCTCACCTTAATCCCCGCCATGAAGGCATCCAGAGGGTCCTCATCGTCTTCACTGCTCTCCTCTTTCTTGGGTGGGGCTTTATCTTCATAGTACAGGTTTCTGTATCTATCTCCAAACGTATCAACTTTCTTTGGAGCAGCAGGGCCACCCGTCTCTTCATCACTGTCTGCATCAAAATACCTACAAGAAATTCATGAAACAGTCATAACATACTAACTTGAAGGGGTTCTATTCTTTAAAGTGAGTAAGATGAAAATATGCCAAAATCATGCATTTGTATTCCGAGCATCCTTCAAATAATTTGTTATCTCATGTGGGACACATCCAGCACATATATAGCATTTTAAAGCAATATGAAATCTTGTTAGTATTTCGTACTCAGCAAGTTTTTTTTAAGTTCAAGTTCTTAAATTCATCCCAATTTTCCATAAGATAACAGAAAATAACGAGAAACTTTCGTGAAATAATAAGGCTGGAAACTTTCATGAATTGTTTAAAGCCCCACTGCACTAGTTTTGCCAGGAGGGATTAGACCTCCCTGTATGGTCACAGACAGATGGTTATCTCATCAAATAAGCTCTTAATTAACTTAAGAAAAAGAGGATCATGGGGGACCAATGGTCACCGATTAGGCATTGTTTGCTATATAGAGGGCGCAAGTAGCTATAAGTAGTGCAGTGCTTAGCTTTTTCAAATTATCAAGCGCTAGCATAATTTTAGAACGATTCTGGTTTCATGCTACTTGTATTTTCATTGACATCCCCCCCCCCCCCCTGAGAATAAAAAACAGGGAGCATAATTCTGTTTTACAAACAAAACATTTGGGTAAAATCTACGTAAAAGCTGACACTTACTCTTGTTCTGTTCTATGTCTCTTCTTGATCTTCTCCAAGTCCTGTTCATCAAAGCCCATGATAGCATTGCTGTACAGAGATTTCTTGTCTCTGCCACGGCTAGCTGGTACAAACCGGTTGTACACACCCCCACCACGACTTCCACCTCCTCGCTGCATGTCTGCTGCACAATGTCTGTTTACCCATCAAGAAAACAAAAGCATAGTAACCATTGTGGACCGTCAGTGTGTTGAGATATGTCATTTGTTCCGTATTAAAAATCTTTAAGTGTTCAAACCTTAATTAAACTTATTAAAGTGATTACTGGTAGTGTAAAAAGGCGCACGCAGGGAGTTCCCTCCCTATACTAAACTAACCCCTATTAATTATTATAAAGTATCACATTGGCAAATGCAAAAATTGTTTTTTTTTGTGAGTAGGGTCTAGAATCTAGATCTACACCGCATGTCTATGCATTTCACCCGAAACCAATATCACAAGCTCTTGTAAGAGGTCAGCGTTTTTTTGTTATATTAAGTATAAGAACAAAGATGTGCAACTCCGAAGTGAAGCCAGTGTGCCAATGTTTGTCGGGCGAGGGAAGAGGTGAATTATACAAATGCATTTGCCATTTCAAATTTTCAGCAAATTCAGGCTTTTTAATTTTGTTTAGATCTAGACTCTACCTGCCTTTCCATGCAGGGGTATGGGTGACAGTTAAGGCTAGGTGATAACAATATCATATTTCATATCATCATCCAGCTAATAATGCTACCCTGGCCATGTCTATGGACCATCCATGGCCATGCCATGCAGCAGTGCATGGAAGATTAGGTTTGTTGAATCTTGAATTCCTACCTCATAAAACCCAACGCATGGGACTGTTCACCGATTTCAATTCGTCAGATTCATAATCATGAACGTTCGTCGATTTTTTTTTACAAGCCATGAAACGCTTCTCTCACTCCCTTCGTCATCAAAATTGGATGTGCATTTACTTACCACTTTTACTTGCTTTCAGAAGAATTAAAATCTCTTACTGAGCTGCGAATACAACGCCAATTAGCCCGAGTTGAGCCTAGCTATCTCTCTCTCTCTCTCTCTCTCTCTCTCCAGAAGCGAAGGTCAACGCACTTTCCGCGCAATTTCTGGTGACCGGTGCGGAGCAAAACGCGCTGCGCCAATTTTTATCCTGCGAATTAGAAAAAAGAAAAATCGCGAACCGCCTTACACTATGTAAACATGAGCCAATGATCATAAAATTGTATCTCGTGATTATCTTTACTCTCGTCTTTATCTTCCTCTTTTCTTTTTTTTTCTTCTTTTCTTCTTTTTCTTTTTTCTTCTAATTCTTCTTCTTCTTCTTCTTCTTCTTCTTCTTCTTCTTCTTCTTCTTCTTCTTCTTCTTCTTCTTCTTCTTCTTCTTCTTCTTCTTCTTCGCTTCTTCTTCTTCTTCTTCTTCTTCTTCTCTTCTTCTTCTTCTTCTTCTTCTTCTTCTTCTTCTTCTTCTTCTTCTTCTTTTTCTTCTCATCCACCTGCAATGGGCTCTCGATCTGAGTATAAGGCCTAATTGCAAAAAAGAACAAAAATTGGGTCGGTCGGTCGAAAATCTTTTTTACTTTTTGTTTTCTTTCCCCCTTTGGGGTGATATTTTTCAGCATTGAATGCTTTTCTTTTTTAAACGGTAACATAAATAAAACTTTTAAGCCGACCGTAGATTTCAGGAATTTTGGGTCGGTCGCAGAGGGCAATACAACATCTTTTTTTGTTAGGCCTAAGGTGGAATCCATATGCAAACATTTATTGTTGCTATGTCGGGAAAGCATCGTGCAATACTTTCAGCTAACAGAGAAACTTGATTTTTTTTTTTAATTCATGCATAAATTAGTAAACGTTTTTATATTAGTTATTTGTTATTTATTTGTTCCCTTTATGGTTTTTACACACAAAAACTAAGGTCATAAAAGCGTCATGGTTACATTTTATAAATAGCATATAGGTTGCAAATATGAGAGAAAATAAATGTGCTTTATATTATTTTGCTGTTCCTTCTTATTCGAGGACTTGGACGTGAAGCCAAATTTCCTCCATATAAACAGGTAAAAGGAAAGGTAAAGGAAAGAGGGAAGGGGAAATGAAGGAGAATAAGAAAACGAACGAGGAGAAGAAGAAGAAGAAGAAGAAGAAGAAGAAGAAGAAGAAGAAGAAGAAAAAAAAAAAAAAAGAAGAAGAAGAAGAAAGAAAAATAAGATTACCAAAATTAACTGAAAGATAAATAGACATAATTAAAACAGATGGTTTCTATTTTAAATTTAATCGTTTGATTTATTATTTCCAACGACTTGGTTTGAGGTCATACGGGTACATTCTTTATTCATACATCTCCTTTTTAATTAATCAAGTATTTGATATTGGTAATATATTTACAAAATAATGAAGTCATTCTTGATGAGTGGTAATCCGGGGAACGCCCCTAGCACATTATAAACCCACATTCTCCTGAAACAAGTTTTGGTTAAAAATGTCGAATCTTTAGAGCCTAGGCTCTCTTACCTACACATCTCATCAATATGAACAACAACAAAGGTTCCACCCCAATCAGCTAAACTAGTTCTATTGTTGCCTTTATATTTGATATTGATCTAAGTTGTCGGGAAAAAGACTTTATTACCCTTCTCGCCCTTTTGCCTCTGAGTAAAAGATATCATGTTTTGTAAATGCTGAGGCTTACATTGCAAAATGGAAAACAATTTTGTTTAAAATATTTCTATGTCATGGAAAATAAAACTTGAATCTTGAAACTTCTCGTAACTCCACCAGTGAGCTACAGCATATGCTCCATGTTGTAGACATTGATTTTTTGCTATTAATTTTGGTGATATCATTTTTTTTTAATGATTTACAGATTTTTAGGTCATGACTGAAAAAATATTACGTTACCAAACTGGTATACATGCCCATGTGCAAACTTATAAAAGACCAAATAGCCATGTTTGGTGAGTAGGCCTACGTGATGAGATATAGCTAGCTATCGTTATCACATTCCCACCCCTCCCCCCCCCCCCCCTCCCTCTCTTTTTCTCTCTCTCTCCCTCTCTCTCTCTCTCTCTTTCTCTCTCTCTCACCGCCTCTTTCCCCTTCTCTCTTTACGCTCTCTCTCTCTTTAGTTTGTCTGCGAATCCTCTCATTTTTAATCTCATCATTCGGTCTGCATTCTTCGTCTTTACCAAACGGCCTAAAAATCCTTCTGTTTGATTAACGTATACAATAGAATGTTAATAGTTTCGTCAACCCCAATACCGCACCATATACATTAAGTTATAAAAAGGGATATAAGGAAACAAGTCAGATCAAAAGAAGTTGAAGATTATACAGAACAAAATGGTGAGATTTATCAACTGTTCTGGTCCAAGAACTCATGTTGGCTATAGCGAACTTTCTAAAGCTGGTTTTCTTGAAGTCGACCAAAGATCAAAACAACTCGCATTGCATCACGTGCATAAAATATATCATACTAGGGCGAATCATTATATTCGATCCAACTTCGATCTTGTTACTGACGTACATGATTATAATACAAGAAATAGACGATTCAACTTTAACTTACCAGAAAGAGTAGGTAGTATTGGAAATTCGTTTTATTACAATGCCATAAAACATTGGAATTCCCTTCCCAATGGTGTAAAAGAAATAGGAAACTATGATCATTTTAAGAGGAAATTAAAGGAATACCTAATACTTGACAGTCAGAGAAGAGAAGTGAATGACATGTTATATGATTGAAATTGTTATTCTTCTGTCGGTTCATACTTTTTCATGTTGTATATACTTATGTTTTCGTACGTTATAGAAATTCTACAAATTCATCATTATTTTCCTCTTCTTCCTTCTCCTCTTTTTCTTCTTCTCCTTCTTCTTTTTCTTCTTGTACTTAATATCATTTCTATCATCAGTTTAATGTTGTTATTATTATCTTTAATAAGTAGTTCTTTTAATTTTCTTATCTGTCTGTAAATATTACTATTTTAATTTATTAATTGTATACATGTCTGTAAGGGACCCCACTGGAAATAAGCTCTCGAGCTTTCGTGGGTTATCCTGTTCAAGCTGACTTATTTTTGATCTGTTATTATTGTATATTGTTGTATATTGGAAGCTTGTCGAATAAAAATCAATCAATCAATCAATCAACAAACCATTTCTATAATAAATCTTTTATTTGTATTGAAAGAGTATCACGCGTGTGTAGATTTAAAAAAATATATAAAAAAGCACTAACATTCTTTGTGGTTAGACATGCGCACAACTGAACATAATTGTGTATCTATGAAATAATATCAAACATACACATTTCAATGAATATTTCATTCATAATGTACATGCATGTATATACGATAAGGCATAGAGTACTTGAAATCGAACCTTGGTCTAATAATTTCCGTCAACAGTAATAAAACATAATTCACAAACGATGTTTACAGATAAAACAACTTACTTTGACGATCATAAATTAAGGTATACATAAGACGAAGAAGGAAAAGGGATAGGGGACCTCGTGAAATTTAACTTAATATATCAGGGGGGGGGGGCAATTCTATAAAAGCATAGCCATGGTAGACGGTGTGGCAAACAATATAATGCAGAACAAATTTTATCGCTAGGTAAGGTAAATTAGTTAACAATGTCGGGCTCTAAAGTGTGTTATATAATGCTTGTCAATCTGAAGCATAATTATTATGGAGCATATAGGCGTATGAAGCGAGTGGGGGAGGTCAACACACGGCTAAGGTATGAAGGTTCGCTATATACTACAAAGCTTTAATTTTGTTACAAAATTCGCCATTTTGGTGCGTTTTTCATCAGGTTTGTGTCTTTATTATTATTCTCTTCCTCTCCCTTTTTATATATCAAAAAGTTTCTTAAACATTTCCTCCTGATTAAGAGATTTTTTTTTCTTCTAGACCCAATTCTAAAAAAATACCTACTACCGGCCCCCGTGCATGACAATATGTTGTTTTTTTTTAGTTCGTTTTTTATTAAAATGATTTTATTTCTCATGCAAAACATAATACAATGAATAAGACAGTAAATTACAAAAAATATATACAATGAAACGACAAATATGATAGAAATAGCACGAGAAAAGAGGAACTAACTATAAGCAGAGCTTGCTGAAGTATTAGTTCCTGCTGTTCCTCAGATGCTGTTTTACAATTATAATCTTGAACAAAGTTTACTTTAAATATAGTAATGTTCCACTCAAGTAAGCCATCCTCTACACCCACTAAATCCAGTGCCCCGATCTACCACCTTTAAAACAAATTCTACGACTGTTTTGAAGAAAGCTCTGAGTAATGAAGAAACATAGATTTCTGGCATCACTGTCTTTTTATAACATAACTCAAGAAAAGTAGAATTTACTTCTCCAATGTAACGTTGCATTGCGCCAGCTTCAAATTAATCGTATTTCCTGCAAGCAATCACAACTCCACAGTAGTAACTTACGATTATTTTCATGTTTCAGATCTGATATGAAATAGTAAGATATAATTAATTGCAACAATATTAGAAATGAAATAGATTGCTTGATTTGATTTAATTTGATATGATTTACTTTCTTCTGTATTCCATATAAATATAAACAACATAACAAATAGTACTTTCTGACAATGAATCCAGTGAGTTCTTTCCCTGAAACATTGTTTTCTGTCTATACAAGATCATCACCGGTGACTTTGGACAAGTCCTCGACCTCGTCCTCGGCCTTATCATCGACCTTATCCTCCACCTTATCCTCCACCTTATCATCGACGGAAACGGTCTTGATCTCGTGGCTCAGGAAGAGTTGGATCCACCTTAGCTCGCGAAGTTTCTTGGGAATCTTGAACTGTCCCGCAGAGGCTGTTGACGTCTCCAGGAGGAACCCTCTGAAGTGGGAGAAGGCGTGGCGATCGAGGAAGACGACGCGGGGAGGACCCAGCTTGCTCTTCTCCCTGCACTTGTCATAAGACTCCGAGAAGGTCCTAAGGTTAGCGTCAAACTCAGCCTCGAACTGCAAGACGGGGGAAGGGAGGGGGGAGAGGGGGGGGGGGATAAAAGGGTCAAATTTCAAGAATCTCTTACAGTCAATATTAAGAGGCTCATCATTAGAACAACAACAATTTTTGGATAATGATTATAATTTCTCCTTAATGTATTGTGAGAGCGCCAAAACAATGTAATGATTCGCTAACCTTAAACATAAAAGTCTTGATTTGAACTTGTTTTTCAACGGAATAACAACGAATTACACACGATTTATTATATCATCTCTCCGATCTGTTAACATATGTATAACGAAAATGTTTATAGACCTAGCTATCGACACACTCAGTGCGCAGATTACATAAAGCAGAAGTCAAACAAAAAGCTTATTCCCGATATGAAACCTATATAAACAAATATATATGAATTCATCGAAAAGAAAGAAGGGCAATGGAAAACAGTAGTCGTGAATCGAATGTACTGATTTTCACATATAGTCATTTTTTAATTTATATAGAAAATTACAATTTCGCTTATTGCCCGACACACAATAGTGTACGATTGATTATTTCCGATTTAAGTATCACCCTCAAAATATGATTCTGCGATGACTATGGAATATGTTGACCATTATTTTGTCATACCTTCATCTGTACATTGCGAACCGATGTTAGCAGTGAGTCCGTGGAAGCTGAAAGCTCTACGAAGATGACGTAATAAAGAATGTTTGCACTCAAGTCTTCATTCGTGCCTAGGAAAAAATATTAGAGAAATTTAACGAAAGGATTTAACATAGAAAAGGTAATGATCTCATGGTTATAAAGGCGTATGGGCACAATTTCGCGACGGGGTCACTGATGGCATCTCTTATTAAACAAAAAAGTTTTCAATTTCCAGAACTGCGAGCAAAAGAAGAAAGAGAAAGTTATTTTTTCCTACACTATAATGTTACTGTATTAATGAAGTTTTGTAATGAATAATATACTCAATAAAATATATAAGAATATACAAATCATGCCAAATAGATCATCTCGCTTTTCGATCATTTATTGACAGATACATGAAAACACATCGTATGCGTGAATGGCTCATTGTTGTCATTATTCTATCCGTCTTAGAGCGTACATTACTTTCTTTCTTACGTTCTCTCCTTTTCTCTCTCTCTCTCTCTCTCTCTCTCTGTTTCTCTAGCTCTAGCTCTCACTTTCCCTTTTCCGCTACCTACATGCCGCTCTTTTTCCTCTCTATTTATATATCTATCAATTATCAATCTTTCTCTCTATCCCTCTATATGTATAATTATGTATCTATCTTTACCAATCTTCAACATCTTACCTCTAGCTTGCCTCATCGTATAATGAGCTAGGCTCTATGCGCACACGTATACTGCGCAATCTCTCTCTCTCTATTTACCTATCTATTAATCGTTATAATATATGTCTATCTATCTATCTATTTATCTATCTTTCTATCTATCTTTACCAATCTTTAACATTTTACCTCTTGCCTCATCGTAGAGAGGACTCTCTGCACACACATACTGCGCGATCTCGACATCGTCCCATTTCTCGGCTGTTTCCTCCAGAGCTTTGGTCACCGCCACCTCAGATGTTTTCTCGGCACACAGACTCAGCAGTTCTCCATTCCTGTTAAATGAATACCAATAATATCAACATCAATTGACTAAAACAGGAATAGTCGAACAAACTATCATAGTACCAGGCGTGCTGCTTGTCCTTTTGAATGCAAAAAATTGCAGGAACAAAACTGGACGCCGAAGTTTGCCGAAAACATTTCTAAAGCAAAAAAAGGTACCTTAAATTTAATGTTCAAATATGCCGACAGGGGTTACGCTAAAATGTCAAAAGGCATGGGAGAGTATAGAGAGTGAGAGAGAGAGAGAGAGAGAGAGAGAGAGAGAGAGAGAGAGAGTGAGAGTAGGGAGATGTGAGAGGGAGAGAGAGAGAGAGAGAGAGAGAGAGAGAATGTCTACGATACCTCGCCTCCCCGTCCATGAAAAAAAAACCGCCGTCCATGTAGTTGGAAGGAACAACTTAAATACATTATGACTGATAAGGGTTTTGAACCAATAACCTTCATTACCTATATTGGAACTGGAAGATGGGCGTGGTATTGTAGAACCCTGTAATGAGGACGACATCACCCATCCGGTATCTATAGAGACCATCTGTATTGGTAATGACCAGCTCGTAGCATTCTCCTTCCCGTACCTCATCCATCAACAGAGTACCTGGGTTTTCATCCTCACTGCCGAGTCACACAATGGTACAATATTTGAACCGAATAAAATCATTATAATCATATATTTCAACCGAATATAATAATTTCTCAGTGACCGGGTAAATAATGTTCACATAATGGGCATCACACGCTCTCGTGAAACCTGAGATTCTGGTCACGATTAGACTGTCACTAATTGATCACAGTCATGCCTAAAAAGGGATATTCTGATCACGATTCGAAATTTAAGCTAACCGTTTTATCTCCGTTCTTTCTCATAGACGAGACCGAGACCTAGGTGTAACAAGGTTCGAGACCGAATTCTTCTCTCATTAACCCAGCAACTCTCAGAAACCATACTATACAGTGCAATTATTGCATTTAATGCTTAATGTCTACGAGACCAAATTAAACCACACTGTTTTATCGTGTGTCTTTCTCATAGACGAGACCTATAGAGACCTATATTCTTCTCTCATTAACCATCAACAACAATACGTATCGGTGGACATATTACTATTGAATTTGTTGTACATATTATATTTCAAATTTGCTTGTTTGTTTCAGAAGCAATATTTGGCCTCAGGCGCGTACGCAGGGGGGGGGGGTGTTTTGGGGGTTAAACCCCCCCCCCCTTTGGTATTTTTATGTGTATAAACCCCCTAAAAGAAACCCCCCCCCCCCCCCCCCCTTTGGGTTTTTTTTTTTTTTTTTTTTTTTTTTTTTTTAATAAAAATAAAATAAAATAAATATTCCCATGGCTGACATAAAAAAGGTGACCTTACCTCCCCCCAACGGAGCAAAATGTCAAATTTGCAAATTTCGAGACCCCCCCCCCAAAAAAAAGTGTCCTCTTACCCCCCCCCCCCCCCCCCCCCTTATTCAGCGGCTGGCTGAGTCGATGCGAAATTTTCGGCCTGATTTAAAATGTTAACCCCCCCCCCCCCCCCTTGAAAAAATCCTGCGTACGCGCCTGTTTGGCCTTATACTTTCCTGCACGCAATCCCCTCAAAGGTGTCTGTCTTTTTATGATTTGGGGATTACATTTGACTGAACTGAACTGACTGATTCTCTCACATCATGTGCAAAACAGCGTAACCTATATAATAACGATACATTACACTTGTGTCAATATCATTTTCATGTTTTTATGAATAAGAGTATTGTTAGTTGTGCGTCAGTCGCGATTTTTTTTTTTGGGGGGGGGGGGAGAACTTTGACATTTTTGGTGCTCTTAAAAAAAAAAAAAGGGTGTGTCTCTATGAATGAACACCAAATTGGCCCTATACGATCCATCCGACATAATTAATCTAGTCAGTGAGTGTCGAAATGCAGCTCCTCTGAGATTTCAGCTAGGGCGTTGCTGGATCCTTTTGAATGGAGAGTTGTAAAAGCCAAATTAGCTCACAATGTAGCTGAAATTTTACAACTATAGTTAAAAAGAAAACGTAATAACATTTTCTAATTTTTCATTTACAAAAAACGTCTCTATCCCAAACAATCTGGAAAGGTTATCATTTTAGAGATTTGATGACAACCTATACAAGTCTAGAATTCGCTGCGCCAGAAGTGAAGATTGGATTGGCTTTAACATGTTCAAAAGAACTTCGTTATTGGCACAAACATCAACAAAGTGAAACGTTATGCTCTAGATCATTTAGAAAATATCACCACGCAACAGAGTTCATGAGACCAAGATCTTCTCTCATTAAACATAGAAAACCGATACGTATCAGTGAAATAGAACAGTTGAACTTTGTTGCATCAGATTTCAAATTTGCTTGCTCGTAATGTATATAGAGTGTGGTGTAAGTATACCTGTAACATGGAGCCTCAAGCAGAAAAGTTTATTATTTCATAGGCCTATATACATTATATTCGAATATAATTATCATGACATATATCTTATTCTGATTATATCAGGGTAAAATTTAAGATAGATGAAAGCATCGAAGAGCAAGGAGTCATAAGAAGAACAAATATTGTTAATAGAGGTGGATTAGGATAGAATCTTGTCTTCGGTTTTCTGTGTTTTAATTTCATAATTATAATGCTAGAAGTTGGTCCCGACTTTTTATTTCATGAGATTTAATGGCATTATTTTTCGTAGTGTATAAGTATTATTATTATTACCATATTTGCCATGTACTTTTTCATTATTTTGTTCTGCCTTTTGCCTGAAATTCTTTTGATTTATATCAAAATAATTAAATTTCATATAACTAACCAGTAATCAGCAGGTATAAATTCACAGAATATACCGTCTGCTACGCACACGTATTTCGTCTGTCCGTCATCTGGGAACTCACATGCGTATCCAACAAGGCCCTCAGTAGAAATATAGAAACCCGACAGGATTTTCAAATCTGTAAATGAATTGTTGCTGATCAGTTGTAAAGCTCTGGTATACTATTTGTCCAGTTTTTATATTGTGATATACATTTTGAAGACCCCTCGTGAATTGACATGCGTATATTTCTTTTTACGTATAAAATGCGTAACGGGAATATATTAAGTCCTTGAAATGAAACATAAGACAGTATTTTTGTTTTTTAATAATGCATTTTTCCTCATCATTACATGCTCATTATAAAGAGATTGAATGCTTTTTTTTTAACGCGGGGGGTCGGGAGAGGCATGTTCACTGAAAATATTGTTGTTAAGCTGTATTACGGCAAGTTATTATTTTTCTTAAATCAGGTTGTCATTCGTAGCAAATATAATGACGAAGTGATCTTTCACCTGATTATGGCACTTAGAATGCATCCAATAAATTTGTGAACAGCAAAAACAAAAAGTTCTGGGGTACTGCAATTCTGATCCTCCCGGTTCTGGCAGATGACATGTTTTTATTGCCTTATCAGAATTCGAGACATTTCTTAATGGAGATCATAGTAACTCACCTCCACTATACTTCTTGAGACGTTGTACAAATGGCTGCATGGAACCTGATGTAACACCGTACAATACGGGCATTCTCGGCCACAACCTACTCACAATGTTGTCGAACCCCATACGGAACTGTCTCTCTATCTCATTGGCTCGATCGGGCATTGGGTAGAGGAATCTATTGAGTTCTTCTCGATCCCTAGGAGACAGTGACGGCAGCTTTTCAGAGATGGAACCACTGCGGATATCCTGCACCAGCATGTTCCAGGATACCTCCAGGAAACGGAAGAAGATGAAGAGGGAGGAGGCGAAAGGAGACCAGATGCTGCCAAGGTGTTCATCTCGAAGCGCAAAGAGGGCGTGGATGTACATAGAAGTTGGCTCGTGCACTATGCTTGCACCAAGTGGTGGCGTACAGAATAGAATCTCCCTGATGGCATCTGACATCATGAACGCGGTCACCGACCCAACTGGGGTGCCTCCTTCCGAGAAACCTACAGCACCATGTACTAAAAGCGAACACGTCATTTGTAGTGGTTTGGGATCAGCAATGCCAGCCTGATTTCGAAGGGCTGACGTCACAGCGTTTCCTCTTAGAGTAATGTTATTCATGTATTCTTCACTAACCGGAAACACTTTGGCCAAACCTGTGGTCCCTGACGTCTTACCAAGGACACTAGGTTTTTTGTGGAACATGACGCCTTGCTCTCCCTTAGCCACCCGTTTAATGTATTTTCGGTAATGGTCGTAGGTTGTCAGAGGATGTTTCTTGAGGAAGTCTTCGACAGAAGATATCTCCTTCAAGTTGAAGTCCTTCCCGTACGCGGTGTCTTGTTGTTTGCGGATTGTCTTCAATAGGAACTCGGACTGGGCTTTCGTACAATTCTCGTTGCTCTTTTGGAAGGCATGCCAGTGCTTTCGTTTCAAAAACCAAAGAAGCCAATGAAAGGCATACTTCAGAACGAGTACTTTGATAGAAATGAACGGACTGCAGTGATGAGAGCACATGGTGAATGTAAATAGAGCTGCGCTTATCGTCATTCCTAGCCCCAAACCTACATAAAGATAAAAATGAGAATAAATGGATTCAAGATCATCTGTGGTTATGGATCTACGTTAAATGTACTTGCTATAATGATCTTTTATCAACTGACAACCGTATAGTGGAACATATCTCATCTGATCGTGTGTTTCTTAACTCGCTGAGATTTGTATATGAACAGCATATTGATGTACTGTCCATACATGATGCATTGGTGTGTTGAGGAATGCGTGGACATCGAAACATGGTCAAAGGAAAACATGGTTGACCCAGGACATGCCCATCTGATGCATACAGGCTAAAACAAGCTTTTTTTAAATATTATCTTACCTCATATGGCCCGATAAATAATGACCGTGTGCTTTTATGTTCATATTGAACTGTTTGTATTTACGTTATGTGTATAAAATTATGTTAGTTATGTTATTTTCCTTGAAAATAACTATATGAAAACATTGTTTCAAAAAGTATTTTTTAAAGGGTGATAAAAGCCGTAAACGGCACATGGCCATTTTTAATAATATAAACGGTATACAGCACTGAAATACAAGGATCAGGGTCTCTCTTTCTGACACCCCACCCCTTCAACTCATTCTCCCTCTCTCTCCCTCTCTCTCTCTCTTTCTCTTTCTCTCTCTTTCTTTTTCGTGATTTCTTATGTATAAAACGATTGTTGGTATAACAATGATGGCGAAATCATCTAACGACGATGGAAAACGCCATTAAATTCAACAACAACAACAGCCTACCCTAGCTTTAAACCCTGCTGTTTAGGAGGTTGGTGTCATGATGAGAGGGAGAGGGGGAGACTGCGTGCGTGTGAGTGAAGGTGAAAGAGAGAGAGAGAGAGAGGGGGGGGGGACGGTGAGAGAAAAATCATACTTTTTGAAACAATGTAGCTTTATGAGATATAGCCTAACTTATTTGCCAACGCTTGATTCTCCTACATTGTGGAACACAAACAGTCATGTAGAGGTAAATTGCCTGTGGAGATTCTGTGGGCACTCTTGTTGGTAATGTTTTAAGCTTCGGTGCATTATCGCAACCCCCCCTACCCCCTCCCCCATAACCATTAACATATTGAATATCTTACCGACTAGTGCTTGAACATCATGGTGGTGCTTGTGTCCTCTTGACAGCAAGAATATAGCTTGTCCAAGAGCCAGAATAAAACAAATACCGCAGGCTAGTCTAACTTTCTCTTGAGCTGTCATGGTTCTCGATCTGTCACGCTATACACATCGAAAGAACCAACGCTTGAGTTTGAAATCGAAATGTAATGATTAAAAACCAGTTGGGAAACAAATCAAACTAAGGTGGCTTGTATTATGGTAGACAGACATGAATGTCTTACAAACGAGCACACAGTGATAGCCCTGCACACTCAAGTAAAAAAACCGACGACTCCCAAAGTGACACGTATTATATGCGGGGGAAATGTACCGTTTTTTGTTTCGGTTTTTCTTTTCTTTTCTTTCTTTTCACAAAAAGGAATATATATTTTGGCTGCTGTTTACCCCTTTGGCAATTGACTATTAGTATAACGCTACGATGAACTTGGACTTTGGACCTGTCCCATCCGGTCTCTCTCTCTCTCTCTCTCTCTCTCTCTTCACCCCTCTGCCTGGCTGCGTGAATCTCATATTGTACCTGTCGCTCTGTCTCTCAGTCTCTCCCTCTCTCTCTCTCTCTCTCTCTCTCTCTCTCTCTCTCTCTCTCTCCACCCCTCTGCCTGCGTGAATCTCTGCCTGTCTTTAAGCAAGTGATAATATTATACCTGTCTGTCTGCCCCCTATCTCTCTCTCTGCTCGTCCTTCTGCCAACTATAATAGTACCTGACGTTCTGCCTCTCTCTATCTCTCTCTCTATCTCTTTCTCTCTCTCTCTCTCTCTCTCTCTCTATCTCTCTCTCTCTATCTCTTTCTCTCTATCTCTCTCTCTCTCTCTCTCTTCTCTCTCTCTGTCTCTCTCTCTCTCCCTCTCTCTCTACCTGTTCTTCTGTCTGTCCTCCTGCATGCCATTAATTATTGTACCTGTCTTGTTGCCTCTTTCTCCCTCCCTCTCTCTCCCCTCTGCCTGTTTTTCCCAAAAGGATTTTCTGATTCCCATAAGTGCCGACAGACGTTCACATCAACAAGCGGGAAAGGTAATCATTTTTAGAGACCTTAACTTAAAAGAATGTCAAGTTTTTTTTCTTCTGTTTGAACCATTAAAGGCGCAATTTATGACTGCGCATCGTACACCACAGCATTCTGTATTGTGGGCCTTCTTGATTAACTGTAGCACATGTAACAATAATGCAAAGATTGTGTTCATGTCTCAGCGAAAGAGCTCATGTTCACTCGTGATTCATTCTTGAGGAGATATGATACAATTCTTTATCATGAATCTTTTTGTTTGTATATATTGTAACACATGTGATAATAATGTCGAGACTTTACTCAGATTTATGCAAAGGAGCTCATGGTGATCAGTGATACATTCCAATGGAGATATGGTACCATTCTTTACCATGGGTCTTCTTGACACGTGGCAATAAACATTTCGTTTATTTGTATGCAAATATTTATTGATCCGACTCACTACACATCTCATACTAGATATAATTTGTTTTCATAGAAAATTTGGGTTTATGGTTGTTCCAGTGCGTACAGTTTAGCCATACCATTCATATAAACGAAAAGGTCTTTAATGTTTATAACTTCTCTTTAATGAAAACTTTGACAAGTAAATATCAAGTTAATATTTACAAGATATTACATAATCAAGATCATCTATATTTTGTACAACTTCCCGTTGATTAGAGTGTATTTCTGACATGTCTAAATAAATACATTTGAAGTTAACTATTGAACTTATTCACATTGTTTTGACCTTGTGGCTGATAAATTTTGTCTGTAGCCGATCGCTGTGAAGTACTCTCTCCGTTTCTCGAATGTGTGTGGGTGAGTGTGGGTGTGCGTGAGACCGTTTATGTGCTATTCTTATTCACATCATACAATTAAGAATAATCGGCACAATTTAATTCATGGAGATACATACGACTACATATAAGACGAAAGAAAACTAACATGAAATAATATAAAGACATCGATTATATGAACAAATTAAAGAAATTTCATCGTTTGCAGACCCTCATTAATTTATGTGCTGCAAATCAAAGAGATTTATCCAGGAATGACGTCAGAGGTAAAGCAAAAAATAAGAATGATAGTGCATAGTGAAAATGCACGTATAATAATTGATGCATCTTATCTTTCAAAGAATTAGAAGGAAACGGGGTAACAAAAGGGGCAAATCAAATAACATCATTAAAAGAAAAAGGTGTAGACCAGCTGAAAAATACAATGTATGAATTAAATTATTAAAGAAGTATCACCAATAAATACAAAAACGGTTAACTATTACGTTTGTTACTGTGGCCGACAGAATTGGCCTGTAGCCGTATCTCATTAAGAAGCTGCAATTCATAGAAATATATCAAGGAATCAAATTCAATATTTTTAAAAGCAAACCTGTCGAGGGTAATTATTTGTTATATTTGAAGTGCACTTCTCTAGTTTAACAATCTTGGTGGGTTCCCTTCTTTAGTTCAGGGTTAGTTTATGATTCATCAAAGAAAGGAGGTAAAACGATTCAGTACTCATGGTAATGGGATACTCTGTTATTTTTACGTAACATATTCTGTATTTTGATAAATTACATTTATTCAGTGGATTTGTTAAGGAAAAGCTCTTGGGAGCAAATACATCAATACATGCAATTGCTCCTACCAACATGCAATAATACTTATCACTGGATGAAGTATGATAATCATTTTTCTTTTAACCAGACTTTGTAAATTTCATGAACCACAATCGTAAGATTTCACGGTGGTAGACAATGTAATATATTATAAATGTCGATATGATGAAACACATTATTTTGTATCTCTTGATTTTACGCTCATAATAGTCAATATATTACACTCTATAGCTTCTTTAGGATGATCATGAATATTCATATCTACTTAAGATGGTTGTTGTATGGTACTAACAGTTACTGTTTGTTGTGTAGGCCCATCCCCCTTTCTAATCAGGCGACGTAGTACATTCATTGCGACGCGGCGGTACGGTGGATTTATGAACCAGTAAATAACCGCGTTCCACCAGCTTTGACATATTATCAAATACCTCAATGCTATCGTGGTGTAGGGCGGGACTTGTTGCGTGATAGTGGCAGATATCAAATTAGTTAACGTGGATGGTATCCAAGATGTATAGAATGCGGCAGTGATGAAGAGAATAGTCTTCAGGCCTTTAGTAGACGAGGTCGGTTGGTTTTGAAGGGCGTTTACCGCATGATGCTGCGTGGCTATCTGGCGTCGATGCTTACGAATTATCCACAACAAGCGAGCATTGGTATAGATTGTCAAAACTACCCCGCAGGTCGGGAAAACGGTGTAGATGACAAAACTTGGTCTAATACCCGATGCACAGACGCCTGAATATGGGTGACAAACACCTGCCACCCTGCTGTGAATAAAACTTACACTTGAATTCAGGAGTGCTACCGATGCTGCAATGATTATAGCGGTCATGAAACGACGACGCGGTAGGATGGTGTGATACCGCAGCGGTCGGCTTACCGCAATGAAGCGGTCAATGCATGTCAGGGTCAAGATCCACATTGATTGCCAGGTTAAAGCGGGACAGATAATGACGATCACGTCACGTACGGTGGGAGGGAGCATATTGAAAAATAGGCCTGAGCTTGAGCAAACGAACCCAGTAAGAAGATCAACAATTGTTATCGCCAGCAAGGCAAGCTTGGTGTTTTCACTCCAATCGCTAACACGGGGAACAACCAACAGATTGAAGGCGTTGAACAAAAGAATAAGAGTCGTACTGATAGAATATAGACTCACGACAGTTACTTTTATCCTTTGGAAAGAATAATAGGCGGGGGTATCATTTGGAAGATAATAAGACGACGAGGAGTTTTCCATTTTTCCTGAACTTGGCATCTTCCGAAAAATGAAGAATTTTTGTGAGCGTATACGCATTTTAAAGGAATTATTTCCACAGTTTGGAATTAGAGATTAAACTCCTCGTAATACTCGTTTGATTTTTATCTCTAATTTTTGGTGGTCAAGAATTACTTCCGATATACGTGGGTATAATCTCTCTGATACAAACTGAATAAAATATATTTTCTGCGCAACTGATGAAGGATCATCCAGCTAAGTAAGGCGTAAAAGCCTAAATTGGGTTGGGAAATAAATTACTGCCAAGCGGGTAAGGCGAACTTCTTGTCATGACGTTTCAAGGGTATGATGAGATTACCGAATCGAACCACAAACTAGAAGTGTAAGAAGTTGTATCTTAGCGACGCCAAATTATTAAATTGATTTAATCACTTTGATTCACTTAAACTTCGATACCAAGTGTTTCCAACCTTTTTTAAATCTCTTCTTTTTCGTTTTTTCTCACTCTCTCTCTCTCTCTCTCTCTCCCTCTCTATCTCTCTCTCTCTCTCTCTTTCTCTCTCTCGGCTTTCTATATCTCTCTCCATTGTTTCTCTCTCTAACATTTGCAATAAAGATGCACCATTAGTTACTGAGCAGTTAGGAAAGAAGAAAGTTGCTTTAAAAAACCATGGATATCTCGAGGGATCATAAAATCTATTCGTGTAAAATATAGAATGTATTCAAAAGTTATTAAATCAAATCATCGACAGGAATTATCGACTTTCATTATTTTACACTTCGATACCAAGTGTTTCCACACTTTTTTAAAACTCTGTATTCTCTCTCTCTCTCTCTCTTTCTCTCTCTCTCTCTCTCTCTCTTTCTCTCTTACTCTCTCTTTCTCTCTCTCTCTTGCTCTCTCCATTTCTTTCTAACCTTCGTAATAAACATGCACCATTGCTTACTAAGCAGTTAGGAAAGAAGAAAGCTGCAAAAAACATGGATATCTCGAGGGATCATGCAATCTATTCGTGTCACAATGTATTCAAAAGTTATTTAATCAAATCACCGACAGGATCTTGTTGATAAGTACAAAAAGTGCAGAATGTACTGCTCACTCTAGTAAGAAATGCAAAAATGAATTACTATTGCGATTTGTTACAAAATAATGAAGGACACAAATAAAACATGGGTCATTATTGTTAGCTGGATAAAACAGATGACCGAGAAGCGCTGAGGTGGACAGACTTATTAAGAAGGTTCGTGGAGAAAATATGCAACTTACATCTTAATCTGATATTTTTTGTAAATATTGGACTGAATTTAGCAGATGAATTGCCGACTAGAGATATAGCATATTATGGTGATTTTTTTTTTTTTTTTTTTTGGTGGGGGGGGGGGGGGGGGCAGAATATCGAGCAATCTCTATTTTGGAAACCAATAACTGCAGTTGAATTTAGAAGTCAAGCTGTGCTTCTTGATACCAAAACATTTTGGGGTCACGATAACATTCCAGTGCAATTACTTAAAGACAGTGCTCCATTTATTTCACATCCACTGGCATATACATTTGACTTGTCATTAGAAACTAGCAAGGTTCCAGATGAATAAAGATTGAAAAGGTTACTCCCCTACACAAAAAAGGGCCAAGAGAAGATTCAGGTAACTATAGACCAATATCGGTTCTACTTGCCATCAGTAAAGTTTTTGAAAAATTGATAAATATCAGATTAATACAATTTCTAGAAAAAATTATATATTCAATTACCATCAAAAATGGATTCCGTAAGAAATATAGCACTAAATTATCATTGATCAACTTGATCAATTCAACTTTGAAATCTATAGATCAGGGTAAAGTACTCTCTAAAAAAATCGAGTGATCACGGACGTCACTCATCTGGAGAGTGAAAATGTAGTGAAAATAGAGTGAACATTCACTCTTTTCTTCTTAGAGAGCACTCTAAAATCAATTGATTTTCACTCCTAAACAAGTGATCACGGACGTCACTCCCAGAAAATGAAAATAGAGTGAAAAATCATTCTTTTTTTTTAAGAGAGTAACTTTGGGTATGTTCATCGATTTAAAAAAAGCATTTGACACAATTAATCATAAAATTATCTAGTTATGGTACTCGAGGGTTACCTCTACTCTAGAATGGGTTAAAGATTATCTCAGTAACCGATTTCAGTTTGTTCAGTGTGGTCAAACGTTATCAGAAAGGAATAAGATAAGATGTGGTGTTCCACAAGGATCAGTATTAGGGCCAACTCTATTTTCAATCTATATAAATGATTTGCCAACTGTTGTTACTGATTATTTAGATTTTCGGCTGTTTGCCGATGATTCCAACTTATTTCATACTTTTCCTGCTGACCAGGGTAAAATTGATATAAATGAAGAGACAGAATATACCTAAGTTGTGCATTGCTGACAAACTTACAATTAATTCAATGAAAACTAATTACATGTTAATAAGTAGTAGGAGGAACAAAATATGTATGAAACTGAAAATCGCTGTCGAGGAAATTTAAGAGGTTGATGTTGCCACTTTTGTTAAGGTTCACATGGATAGACATAAATTTGTCTTGGAATAGTCATATTCGTTTTGTAAATCAGTGTATTAAAAAAAAAAGTGGAGTGCTATTTAGATTGCGACATTGTGTGCGGGTAAGCCTGAACCCGATGACCGGGGTAATATATTTTGATTGCAGGGCCCTCAGGGAGAACAGTATGAATACTGATGAGGCTACCCTGGGTAAACAAGACATATTATTATTATCATTATTAGCCGTACTCTGATATTATTCTTTATACAATCACACATTTCTTACGGAATAGAGGTGTGGGGAAGCACTTATAAGACTAGCCTAATATTATATTCATAGAAAATAATGGAGAAATCCTCCAGATCCATTATTTAAAAGATTGCGAATTCTAAACGTGTATAATTTACACGATGTAACAATTTCTACTTTCATGTTATACTTTCTATATAGTCAATGAAAATTTGTCTCATATTTTGATAGATTACTGTGACATTATATATAGAACATAGCTATTCCACAAGACAAAAAGTTAAATAATTTGTATATGTACACAATTTATATGTTACATTATTAGTTTCTATATTGTAAGACATTGTTGAGTATTCTAGGTTTTTTTGAGTATCGATTGTAATAGTAAATTCATTGTTTTTTTTTTTTTTTTTTTTTACGTTTTCTAAACTGATTTGTACCAATATGCTTTGTTTAGCTGTTTAAGGGGTTGGGCTCAACTATCATGTGCTATTATCTGGCTCCTTTACCAACCAATAGTTTCTCTTCTTATTTTTAAATTTTATAAATCATTGCTTGAAATGTATTGCTATTGGTAAATAAATCAAACTCAAATCAATCAAAATTACTCTCTCTCTCTCTCTCTCTCTCTCTCATTCTCTATACCCTTTCATTATTTTCTTTTTGGACGCGTTTGTGTAAACGTTGCATAATGAACATCGTATTTGTCTACGGGATTCCTATCTGAAGAAATAGCATTGAACCGATCATAATGAAGAAGAGAACTCATAAGGATTTTTATTTCAATTGTGGTATTATTAATGACGGAGAATGATCCAAATTGAACTATTTGTACTTCATTATATTTATATATCTATCTATCTGTCTATCTATTTATCTACATTTCATAAATTCATCTATCTGTCTATCAGGCTGTATTTTCATATGTCTATCTATCATCAATCAATTTAGCTATTCATCAATTTTCCACAATACGGAAAGAAAGATCACGCCCAAAGAAGAGTGCCACACAGATCGACTGTAAATCTGTCTGTAAATCATGGGGGGGGGGGGGGGGGGGGGGGGGGGGGGGGGGGGGGGGACCCATTTTTTTTTTTTTTTTGGTCTCGAAATTTCAAAATTTGACATTTTTTGTCGTTGGGGGGGGGGTAAGGTCACCTTATTAAGGTTAGCCGTGGGTATAATTTTTTTTTTTTTTTTTTTTTTAATAATAAAAAAACAAGGGGGGGGTTAGGGATTTTTAGGGGGGTACATACATAAAAATACCAAAGGGGGGGTTTTGAACCCCAAACCCCACCCCCCCCCCCCCCCCCTGCGTACGCCCCTGTTTCGTCGGATATAGTCAATTCAATTTGACAAATGACAAACAAGTCAAGACAGTGCAGCAAACTGTAATAGCGATTCGTACAAAAGCGGCGCATGCATTGCCCTATATTCGACCCAGCACCATTCTCTATGTTGAACACTACTTGTTCGGCTCTGGCAGAAATAGATTTATGAAATATTTTGTCTTCATGCAGTCTCATGCACGGTCAGTTTTATCTTCTGTTCTTATTTTATGAAAACGGATAGCATCAAATTCTGTATTCATTCCTTTTGCACATCTTGATCAATACATGTAAATTTACTCACATTAAGGATTTATATATAGGCCTATATTCTTTCTTTTTTTAAATTGACGATGTATTGCCATTCTATTCGTTAAAATATCTCCCGTCTCTTGGATATATTGTTTGCCACGTACCACTACAATTTAGAATATAGAGCAAGTTTCTAGATGTGCATACAACTGTCATGATATTTTGATTTTAACTATTTTGTATTATTGATGAATAGTGGTGGGCATAAGTCACGTTCAGTTACACCTCTTATCGAAACATTTTTAGTCCCCCTTTATCTTCGTTCAAATTAGGCTGAGGTAAATAGTTTCTTTAAATTCGGCGTCTGTCTCTATAGTTGTTTAAATCTCAATATTTTGTTTAGAAAAAAAAATCTTCAATAAAAAGGGGTCTGTTAGACCATGGACCTATTACTACTTGTAGTAGGTCCATAGTAAGATAGTATTTTAAAAATTCCCATAATTGGGATTGTTTTTAAAAAAATTATATATATAGGTCTATATATAGCTAGGTCGCGATCTAAAAATATACTTCTTTTTCTCGATTTTTTTCTTTTTTCCCCGTTTAAATAAATTGTTCTTTATTACGTGCCTTTTATATGATACTTGCTCTGATAATATTTTCCGGAATTTCCTAGGCAAGAGCATGGATTCTATCTTTTTACTTCTTTAATTTGTGTGAGAACGAGAATTGACGATACAGTTTCTGCGCGCATACACAGTACACGCCTACCACTACGCGTACGTACCACTGATCTCTATGGTACGTACAGCGTGCGGACGGTACGTGTCACGCAGCTCAGAAAGCTAAACACAGCTGATTTGTTAACAACACACACCGAATTTAGCGGGTGGACTGACATAACCTGAGAAAGGCTAGCAGACTTCTTTTCTGATTTCTTCGTTTCTCATGCCTGCAAATTGTCAGTGAATCATATAAAATGGGTTGTACGTGCACCAAGGACCGGGTAACGGTTGGAGGGAGGCGATTTTACGTCATGAAACGGCTAGGAGAAGGGTAAGTTGCTGGTGGATTTTTGTTGTTGTTTTTGTTTTTTTGTCGATCAACAAGTTATTAGATATAGATCTAGGGGTCTAGATCTAGATCTAAATATAATACTAATCTACATCTAAGGTGTGGTACTGGACAGGACCAATTGTTATATACGTCCAGATTAATAAATAGCTATACATAGACAGTATACTCTTTTGTTTAACTATGTGTGGTATGGTTAAATACCTTTGTCCTAATTGCCTTTGGTATAGATCTAATGTTAGAAGACTAGATGATCTACATCTAGACTTCTAGCCTATATGTGTTTGAGCTATGATGAGTTGAACATGTGAAATCAAATGAGATACAGGACCATGATGATTCATGGTGTTTAGAAATAAGATTAAGAATTTAGATCAAGAAACCACTCCGAATCGAGACATTCACAGAGCTCTTCATTTCTGAAGTATACTCTAAAGTGTTCCTTATGATGACATTCTTCCCATATGATACTCTGCTATAACTTGCAATGCCAATGGAAAGTTTCTAATAATAAATAAGAAGTTCAACAGCGACAGATGGGAAGGATGCCAATGTAATTGTGGTTATAGCATGTGCGTGCCTGTTAAATGGCGACTAGCTTGAATACTGATCCCCAGGGAGTGTAGAACATGCACTGCAATATGCAGAATAATCCAGTGCCAAAAAGAGGTAATATTAATAATAATATGGGGAGGAGGCTGGAGCTGAAGGGGACTCTGGACATAACAAAAAAAAACACCACTTTGCCTTTGGATTTAAAAAATGTATGCAACAAATAGCATTAATCATCATAAATATTTATCCTTAAAGTATTGTCTAAGATAAGTCTGAAAAGATTCATAAAATATTGCTTGTACACTTCTTCAAATTACTGCTTCAATTTTTTAATCAACTGCCCGGATGCACAACCTGTCCTGACACACAACCTCCGGATATACTGTACATGCCATGCTTTGATCAATTAGTGGTAAAGAGCTTTATAAAAAAAAATGGGGTGATTATAACCGAGTCTGACATGTTTTTTATATTACAGTGGCTTCAGCGTAGTGGATCAAGTAGAAGATGAAGTGGGTGAGAAGTTTGCTCTGAAGCGTATTCAATGCCATGGAGCTGAAGATGACAGACAGGCGAAGAAGGAGGCTGAATACCATTGTCAATTCAAACAAAAAACCTCATCGGACTAGAGGAATGGGGCTCGGTTAAAGGAAAGGAAGGAGTTACAGAGATTCTTTTGGTGCTGCCATTATTTAAGGTATAGTATGCAGGACAGCATAAAATGTTAGCAGTGTTTGTCTAGTAAAAGTGATATGAAAGGGTATAAACAACAACCTCTCTATCCAAGAAGTATGTTTTTTAAATATTATATTATTGCTATATGCCTATAAATCTTGTAGAAACAGGGGGTAAACAGATATTCTTTTGGGGCTGCCATTATTAAGGTATATAAAACTATAGTTGACAGCATGAAAAATTGTCCAGTGTTTGTCTAGTAAAAGTGGTAAGAAATGTTATAAACAACAACCTCTGTATCCAAGAAGTATATATATTTTCAATATTATATTATTGCTAAAACAGGGGTGAACTTACACACTTAGGAAAAAGATTATATCAAAGCAATTGTCAGAGGGTTTTCATCTTTTCACATGCCATTATTAGGTCTCATGATAAATGTCTCCAATTTATTTGTGATTATGAAAGGTTTTAGAATGTAGGCAATCTTATTGGTCACATGACACAATGTGACTGCGCATTATTCTTTCCTACAACCTATTGGGCAATATATTAAAGCAAATGGCAGCCCTTATGATTGTATGACTCTGGGCGTTTTTATCAAATTTATTGCTTATTCCTGACTTTATAATCATATGCCGTAGTAGTTTTCTACTGGTATTGTAAGATGTAAGAAAAGATAAAAATCCTGTGACTCCCATAAACCAATGTTGATAGCTATAAAGCGTGAGATTAGTGATACATAACATGCATGCTGTCAAGCTGCACAAGTAAATGTAGGATTAAAGGCATCTATTTCAAAAATAAAAATAAAATGATTTAACTTCTTTCAACTTCAAAACAAAAATCATGATTTTTTTTTTACCTGTGTGCCATATCGGCTGAACCAAATTCTGATTTTTTTTAAAAATAATTCAGAATAGTTTTGTTATAAATACCAGGGCCCCTTGACACAATGATAAATTAACAATTTATTGTTTTGCATTCGACCATGAAGTACAATCTATTGCCAGGCTTTGTGTTACAGGTCACAGATGGTGTAATTGATACACGATTCATGAATTGATTCTCCTAGAGAGGAACATTGCAAGATGAACTGGATAAGATGAAAGCTGATGGAAGGTGTATGGCTGAAGAGAGGATCTGGAGGATATTCAAAGGCGTATGTGAAGGGATCAAAGCATTACACACAGCCAAACCCAAGCCACTAGCTCACAGGTCAGTTCACCTATGTATTGTGTCACCTGTGTTGCAGTAAAATTCATGTAAAAATATATGTCATGAACCAAACATTGATCCCCAAATTTCTGCTTTAAAAGTAAAATAGTACCATTAAATGTTACAAATACGTCAATTGAATTTTGCATCGTTTACACCCAAGCCACTAGCTCACAGGTCAGTTTAATTTTTTTATATGTATTAATTGTTTTAATACACAGAGACATGAAGCCAGGTAATGTAATGTTAGTGAGGATGATACACCAGTTATAATGGACTTTGGATCTATGGGGGAAGCAAGGATAGAGGTCAAAGGTCGCTCCGAGGCATGTGCTCTACAGGTAAACATACAGGCATAGTCACCCGTTCTTTTTATCTTCTATGTTGGTTGACATAACATGCTAATGTCCTTTGTCAAGGCATTAATCTACATTTGCCACTCCATACCCAGGAGAGTAATGGGGACCTGGTAGGATGGTGAAAGCCTCTGTGTCATTGATTGCCATTTGCCCTCATGGTGATTATATGGTAGGAATACTCCCCTGGGAGTGGAGATGGTGCGCATTGTGCATATATGAATACGATGACGGGTGTATTAATATCTTAATAATAATAATAATATTTAATTTATATATAGCGCTTAATACAAATGTCTCTAAGCGCTTTAAAAATATACTATTACCCCGGTCATTGGATTCAGTGCTTGCCCGCACACACTGTGTGCACAATCTCCACTCCCTGGGGAGCATTCCAGCCGGGCGTTACTTGACGCTCACAAGCTGTTTGACCAACAATCATTTACAGATCCAGGGCTTAGAGAAGGTATTAAGTGCAATATAAATCCAGATTATTATTATGATTATTAATATTTTCTGTACTTATTATATGGTTTGTAATATATGATTACAATTGTATTTGTTTAGTTATTGAGATAAATTAAGCTCTAGCATTTTTTTTTTCAGTGGTAGATTGATTGAATATCTCAAAAACAAATGTAGTATCTGAAACAACAATATAATTTTGTTGTTGATTTCCTCTATCTATAATGAACAATTTGATGTATAACTGGAGTCCTGTTTCATCATGTTGAACAGCCATGATTTGATGAAAGATAAGAACCTGCTTGTTTTAAAAATTGAAGACACAACATGAACTGTTGCTTTGATTGATGTTGATTTGCAGGACCTAGCAGCTGAGAAGTGTAGTATGTTATTCCGAGCTCCAGAGCTTTTTCATGTTGACAGTCATTGCATCGTGGAAGAGAAAGTAGATATCTGGGTAAGTATTTGTCCACTTTATTATTTATTTATTTATTTATTTATTTATTTCTGACATTTAGACAGGGTGACTCATTATCACCAATAATGCTGGTCTTCCATTAGGCCCTGTTAAAACATAATTAGGAACAATAGTTAAAAAAAAATAATAATAATAACAAAATTATGAACATAAACTCAACAACAAAGAATAAGTAAGAACATGTATAAACATATATACAAAGTATTTGGTATCCTCGTAATGAATGAATGGTTTGTTTGTTTTGTTTTCCTTTGCTTTTTCGTTCAAGAAAACGTTGTTGCATATTTGTTATTATAATATCTTGATATAAAATATAGTAATAGTAATATAATCATAATTACAATAGAATTACATATAATATAATAAATAATTATATTACAATATAATTACAATATAATGACATTATAATTACTTGCTGATCAAAGATGAAATGAAAAATGTCACCCTAATTTCTTTGACTAATTTGCTCTCAGCAAATCAAATGCAATGATTTCAGCAGCTTATAACAGTTAACGTATTGTAATTTGTTATAAATAACAAGTTTTATGAAGCAGGGCCCTGGTTAATTCATTTTGTCCTTTTAATCAGCCTTCACACTTATTTTATTCCCCAAAACAAATTTAAGATACATTTTTTTCTAATACTTAATTACACTTAGCACCCAATGACTTTTTTCCATAAAAAATAACTTCAGAATTTGTATATGTGCTATGGATTGGTTTAATGCTAAGTTACGGTATTCTGAATTTCGTGGAGATAAAAAAAACCTTTGCAAATGTGAAACAATTATCCCCCTATTACCCCAGTCACATCAACGAGACTGATAATAGACCGAAGGGACAATTACTTTACCCCGCATGGCCAGGAATTGGTTGGTCTGGAGCCGGTGTGGAGTCGATTTGGCAATGTGACTGAAGTATATATTGTTCTCTGGTAAAGTTATCATATGAAAATATATTGAAGTGTGAGATGAGAGATTATTGTGGTACTAACGATGAAATGCTCATTTGTTTACTCAGTCTTTAGGTTGTGTACTCTTCAACATGGCATATCTTCACTCACCGTTTGAACCTATCTATGCGAGAGGAGATAGCATTCATTTAGCAGTACTTGGTAGGAATTTCAAATTCCCTGAAAACTCAAGGTAAGAATTGACACAAGAAGGAATTCTCATATATCTTTATCCCCGGGAAAATAAGATTCTGACCTTCATGACTTAAAACTATGTGGTTCAAACAGTTGTTTGACACTTGCTCTACGTTAACTGCTCTACCATAATTTCCTACTTGAACCAAGGACCTACCTTGAGCCCTAGACCCAACACTTTACCAACCCTAACCCTAAACCTCACATAAAACCCAATTTTACCCTAACCCTATACCTTTAACGAAATAGATCCCGTAGCAATTGGCCAAAGCAAATGTCAGATCCCTTGTTAACAGTCGTAGAATTGATTATCACGTTACTTGTCCCTTGACGGTGTACATGGTACCTATTAAAGTATCATCATGTATTGTGAATTTTTGCATCATTCTCTTATTCCGTGAGAGTGAACGTTAAATGATAACAAATTTGCTATTAGATATTTGGCTATAGACCCGTTTACTAATATATTCAAATTTAGAGATGTTTCTTTCCTGGGGACCTAGGGGCAAGTTATTCCATTAACCTGTTATTAATGAATGAACTACAATAATTGGAATTCAGTCTGCATTCATTATTCGTTGCTGTGTCAGGCAAGCCTTCAGGTTGTCAAGAACAACAACTGTTAAAAAAGTATGCATACAATTTAAATATGCTAGTAAACCAGTCTATTAACACATTTTAGCATAAGTTTTGAAAAGTGGTCCAAAAGGCCTACATAATTTTTCAGATGGAAATATGTGAGAGAGGTTATATATATTACCACTAGACCACTATTTGGCACTATTCTCAAATCTGTGGCTGTAGAGATAATATATAAAAGAGGCATCTATATTATCTTACCAAATAACATATGCCTACTATTCTGAGCCATTTGATATGGGTTCATAAGGTCCTACTAAGCTGGGTTTAATTTTAATTTAACTCTAGCAAACTTGATTGTTATGTTGATAATATCGACAAGATTAATTTTTAAGGCATTTCATTTTTTTTCAATTTCCTTCAAATCTTTCTCTTTCTTTCTGCCCTTTGTAAATTCATTGCATGTATTATGTATATCAGGGAATCATCTGGGCTGTTAAATCAATTAATCACTGAAATGTTGCAGGTTGATGCTAACGAGAGACCCTCAATAAATGAAATACTTGAAAAACTAACTCATTAATCGATGGCTAATTCTTACAAATATTAAAAATAATAATAACAATATAATAGGGTCATCACAGATTGAATATTCATATCAGAATTATCTCAGTACATGTATATAATATCTTATGTCCTTAGCACAAAGACAAAAATTGTGTTTTATGACTACTCTTGAGAAGGTTAAAGAAAATATTTTATTCAAATTTTAAAATGTTAGCAATATAGGCCTACTTGCTATAAGATTCAAATAAACGCTTTGTTTTTTAAATCACATGTTTTTATCTTTTTTTAAATGAAAGTTGTAATGTTCATGTAGAAGGTGAAACAAAATGATTTATTCAACTTTAAAATTTAGCAAGATAGGCCTACTTGCTGTCAGATTCAAATAAACTTTTTTTTAAACTAAATCTTGTAATCTTTTTTAAATGAAAGTTGCAGTGTTTATGTAGAAGGTGGCAAAATAATTGTACTCAAACTTTAAAATGTTAGCAAGATAGGCCTACTTGAGACCGTATTTGAGAGACAATGTGCTTCAGGTTCAGTTTGTCTTGCTTTCTTTTATTCTAACTTTTGAAATCACATATTTTAACCAAATCAATTTGATATAAAGTGCAATGACAGAGACTCCTAATAGTGTCATTTTAAACCAGTTATGTAGACTACATTCTAAATTTGATTTGGTTGATGGGTTGGAGGAGAAGCAAATAGTTTATACTAGGTTGAAAATCTAATAAAGAAATAACATGGGTGTCATGGTTATTTACAAATGATGGTGATGGAAAACATACATGTGTATATATTGATGTCACTTTCTCTCTTCTCTTATAGTTTTCACTAACAATATTCATCTTATTTATTTATTGTTGATGGTGATGGAAAAAATACTGCATATATATTGATGCCACTTTCTCTTTCTCTCTCCCTTATTTCTTTCCACACAAAATGTTCATTACATGTGCATCACATCATCATCATCCTCGCTTGACATCACTCACATGGTTACCCTCACCCTCTTGAATTTATGAAATTTTATATCACATCTTCATCTTTTTTACTAATTTTAATATTTCTTAATTTTCTTCTAATTCTGTTTTTAATCTTTCTCATTTCATGATTCACATATATTCATCTGTCTTGATAACTGCCATATAATCCTAACAATCACTTCTCCACTGTATATATACCCATATGCACATATGACTAATCATACTCACATGACTAATCACATTCACCTGACTAATCTCACGCACATGACTAATCACACTCACATGACTAATCACACGCACATGACTAATCACACTCACATGACTAATCACACGCACATGACTAATCACACTCACATGACAAACACACTTTTAACACACACCAGGTATTCCCAAGGTCTTCAGGACACTGTTTCGGGTATGCTGGTTGTAGAAGCTGTAGAGAGACCAAACATAGACTGGGTCCTAAACAAAACCACTGAGGGACAACTCAACATGGAAAATAGAATATAGACTCAACATGGGACTAGTCTAAGTTTGTTTCCGTTCTAGTCCAATCAACTGGCCGCTATTGTAACAGGACTATTAAACAAAGCTGCGAAGCGACAAGTCAACATGTAGGCTCATTGAACTTGTCAAGCTTTTACGATCTAGTCCAATCAACTGGCTGCGGTTGTAGCAGGACAAACAAAGCGACTACCGGTAGTCAACATAGAGGACAGTATGTATGCTCGTGGGTATAGTCCAAGTTATCTGGTCTGACTAATGGAAGCTAATGTAGCAAGACCACCAAAGCTATCGAAGGACAACTGGCCATGGAGAATAGAATATAGACTCATTGTACTACCAGTATTCCTAAGTTCTCTAATCTGGTCCAATCGACTGTCCTCTACTTTATCAAGACCACCAAAGCTACAAAGTGACAAGTCCACATGGAGAGCAGGATTTAGACTTATTGTAAAGTCTCAATGGTCTGATCAGCTGGCTGCTTATATCCAACAGTGTTTATGATATGTATGGTCTAATCAAAGTACTCTAGTCTTGTATTTCATTACCAGTACTGTTAATAGCAAAGAATATTTTGCTCTGAAACCTGCCTGGGATTGGTTTTGTGGTGAGACTTTTGAATAACTAATGATTGACAGTGAAAAAGACCAACCACGTTTTATGCCACCAAGACACAATTCTAGGAGTTGTCCATATGAAGGTCCCAATGTTAGGCCAAGATTGATGGTCTGTGAAGTACGTACTTAAAGGTGCCGAAAAGAGTAGAACATGATTTAGACTATTGAGGCGTTGCAAGAAAGTTGCAATAAATTGCAAATCTCCAAAATCAAGCATAAGTCTTGCGATTAATTACAAATTTGCAAGTGATTGCAACTCAACTTTCTTGCAACGCCCCATTAGAGAATAAAAGATAGATTTAGTTAGCTTAATTTAATTGTTAAAACTTTAATCCGAACAAAATCCTAGGAAATTTAGGAGACTAGTGGGGCATTGCAAGAAAGTTGAGTTGCAATCGATTGCAAATATCAGTTGCAAATTTTGCAACAGCTTGCAAACGATCGCAACTTTCTTGCAATGCCCCGTATGTGATGTACGATCATTACAACTCTTAGTGCTGAAGATAAAGAGAAGTGCATATGAAGCAACTCAAAATGCAGAACAAAGAAAACTCTTGAGGAATGAAACAAAGGGATGTGTTGATTTCAGTACTAAAAAACCTCAACGAACATGGCAGCATAAAATAGCGGAACCTGTGGAAATCCAATAACAGCTGTGCCATCAACTTAAAATTATTGCTTTAAAAAAGTGAAATAAGTATATCATGTCAAGGCTTTAGAAAGAGGTAATATGGATATCTTGTGTCATCTGATTAAAGCAGAGCTACTGCAAACAAAATAAGTATGAGTTCTCTTTTACTTCAGTACTTAAGCAGAGGCTTAAAGAGTTCATCCTACCTTCAGTTTGGTTTTAATCTTTTAATTCTGTTTACAATACAAGTTATGCTGGAGGAATGGAAAGTAAAGAACGGCTAGTTCAGTTTCCTTCTGTCATGCAACTGAGCAAACCTTATATGATACATGTTTGTGTATGTTTGTCCTTGCAAAGCAATATGTTAGACCTATTATGTGCTTAATACTGCCGTAGAAATAAAAGATTTGTTGGTATTCATTGTGATTGATAAGAAATTCACAATTATTTAAAGAGTTTGTAATTTGTGTCAGGAGATACATCACATTTTCTTAGAGAGATCCCCTAAACAAAAAATGAACGCATTGAGAATGCATAAGACAAAGACTACCTGTCTTAAAGGTACCGGTAATACAAAGTTTTGGTATGGGGTCATGAATTTGGTTCAAATGAACATATTGGAAGCATATGTCATCCTACAATATTCAGTGATCCTTGTCGCGGTTGAATCAAGTCCAAAGTTATGAAATTGTAAATAATAAACTCTTTATGTTGTATAGCTCCTTCTCAAGGTCAAGATATTAATTAAGCTTCAAAACAATGTTTCTTGACTAAAATCGACCGATTAGCTTTTCCCGTTTGGAAATTATATATCACAACTACATATTCTAAGATTGTTATGGTCGCAGCTACCATTGTACGCCCGTAGGCACTATTTGAAATTTATCAAGATTTACCTGGGGCACCGGTAGATTTTTTTATTCAATTTTTCTCGAAGCAGAAGTGTTTAGGGGCTAAATTTTCTAGTGCTTATATAATACATCCAAAAGGGCATCTGAATATATCAAAATTGTAAAGAAATACTATCCACCCAATTTTCAAAATTTCCCAAAACTTTGTATTACCTTTAATGGTAAGGTTGTAAGAGTCTGTATGTTCATATTTAATTCAGGACTCGTTTTTATATATTTCTTTTAAATATAATAGGTAGGCATATCATATAAATCATGAAAAGACAAACAATTGATCAAAAATTTTAAACTATCCAGTCTAAACTATTAAGTAATGTGACATCAAAATGTAGTCATATTTTAAAATCTATTTCTGATCATATACATGTGTATCAAATAAGAGATTACATTAACACAGTGCAATTGTTTATGGGAAATGGTATCATATGGGAATGAAAGTAATAAGAAGGCTTACAAATTGGGTTTTTACATGTGCGACACAACTCGAGTAAGGTAAACGTGTGCCTGGCAGGAATTAATGTTCTTCTGGGTGCATATATGATCCCAGACAGGAATGCTACGTCGTTAGGATTCCAGGGGGGTATTTCACAAAGATAATAAGTTGAACTTATAAGTTAGACTTAAATATCATGGAGAGCTATTTGTAGCCTTAACATAAAATATATTCAAAAGCAAAAATTCAAGTATTTTAGACTTTTCATAAAATCCACATCAAGAACATGAAATCTACCATGGTAATAGAAAATATGAATGATTTGAATCATCATTTTAGGCCTTTTAAAATAACTTTTACGAAAGATTTTCAAAGATGCTAAACGCTTTCCAACTTTTTTAGAGAGAAGTTCAACTTCGGATCTTTGTGAAGCACCCCCAGACCAAACATGAGGCTTATCCAATGTCTGATTGACAGGCTGCATTTATTTATCCCTTTTATTAACCCTTTCAGTACTAAGCTTTGAGAAAACTTGGACTGGTGTATTAAAAAGGCATGTTATACCAAGATTAAATTGTAAACGGCAGATATATATATCATATATATATATATATAATGTTATAGTACTGAGAAAATACACAATTTTCATATTCCAGCGTAATTTTTGTCCCATTATATTACATAAGAAATGAGTTAGAAAAACAGGAAAAAGTTGATATCTCTTGACTTTACTCGAGCCATTCGAGTTATTCATGCATGTACTTTCAATCACTCTGAAATGATCATGTACGTAATGTTGCATATTAAATTCAAAAATTGAAATATGTTGTATTTGCACATGTACCTGTATTCTTCTCTGTATATTATAATAAATACTATATGCGTAAAAGACTATATTCATTTAGTTCCTTTTGTTTCTTTCTACAATTATGAAATTAAAGTTTGTTTTTCCTGCCTATTTTTTTATTTTTACATTTCTTTTTTTCAATCCCTGTTTCTCTCATCTTCCCTTTTAGCTTCTGGGAGAGACAACAAAGCCCACAAGCTTAATGCCAATATAGAGTTTGGCCAAAAATATGGAATTGCTTTTCAAAAGAATCTGGCTTGAATTGATTCTGAAATCTCCATCATTCATTACATGTAGATGGACTATTTGAAACAGCAAAATATTACATAATGCTAGAAATCTTTTCCCTGCAAATTGCCATTCATAATTTTTATATTTTAAGACGATATACCTACGTATGAGGAATGCAACCTTAATTTCCATTTATATGTTTGCACATGCAAATACATATTCCACCAAAACCTTTGGCAGATATCATGATTTTTACTATTGAATATTCATTCAGTGTGATCTAGAATAGGTACGTAATAATAGATGGATTAATTTGTGAGTGCCTTCGAAATGCCAACTGGCTGGAACTTTCCCTACCATGGTCGAGCAGAGAAAGAGAGAGAGAAATTGATGTAGAGAGATCGACAGATTCCGTCAATATCTCTACCAATATATCTCTCTCTTTCTCTGCTTGGTAGAGAAAATTCCAGATAGAGAAAGAGAGATTGACAGAGAAGTTGACAGAGAGAGAGAGAGAGAGAGAGATATTGACACAGATATCGACAGAGAGAGAGAGAGAACTTCATTCTATTGCATCTCGTGATCACAGTGATGATATAAACCTTGGTGTACCTGATATGCGTTTTGAAAAGCAATGTAAAAATTCATCTGTCTTCTCTACTTCATGTACATCTGTCCTTATTTCTATGAGCCAGACCTCACTTATCATTTCTTGTTTTTTCCCATAAATTCTCTACTTTCCTGTATGTCCACTTTTCTATTTGCTCCTTTCCTGCAACTGCTCTATCTTGTGCTTAAACATTACATTCCCAATTTTCTCTTCTGAAGAATCTTTCAGAAGTGCACATTTATAACCTCAACAAGCCAAACCATTGTACTGTCTACTATCCTCAAATATATCATCTTTATGCATCTTATTCTACTATTCAAATAATATTCCATTTAAGTCTCTTTACTCTCTCTCTGCTGCCCCTCCCCCCCCCCCCCCCCCCCCACCCCCCCCCCCCCCCCCCACATTCTCTCTCTTCCTCTCCTCTTTCTCTTTCTTGCTCTCTTTCTCTCTCTTGATTGCTCTTATTCTTTCTTCCTCTCCCCTCTCTCTCTTGCTCTTTCTCTCATTCTCTCGCTCTCTCATTCTCTGTTCTTCTCCCTACCCCCCCCCCCCCCTTTGTATGTTTCCCTGCCCTCCTTCCATTTCTCCAGAAGCCTTTAACATCTAATGGATAATGGATAATGGTATAATCAAGCAGCTTAAGAACAGCCGACAGACTTCCATCCCACTTTAATGAGATTACACATACTAATGTGTTTTGCTTCATGAACTAAGTACTTCTAGACAAACACACATACATGCAGAAGCTATATATTTGTAGATAAAATATTATTTAATAAAAGGCAAAAAGAATGGCAATGTACAATCGATTACATACTCATTATCCTGGTTGATTTGTTTCTGAGCTCCTTTTACCTCAAATTTGCAGACAAATACCTTAAATCATTAAAAGATGTGGAAAACAATTCAGTTTGTTTAAATCTGTACAATTAATAAGCTTACCACAATCTGGAAAATTCTAGATCATAAAAATTGGCTTTTCTTTAGAATCATATTTAAGAAGTTGAATATAAGAATTATGCATCAAAGGAAGTAAAGATTTAAACATGAAATTACTTTTGAAGTTTGACAAAAGAAAGTATTAGTACAATCAGGCAAAAGGAAAAGAACATAATTGGCCATGACATTTTATCCCTATAATGATATAATCCCTTTTCATTTTTTTTCTTCAGGATTTATAAACAGAAATTGTTTTCTAGAGTTCTGAATATGAAGAAAATCAAATTTTTAACCTCCGCTTTTACAAAGCTGTCTCAACAGTCTGGTGCATCTTTTGATATTTATTTATCAAAGATACTACCAAATTCTTGTAGCAAACTGGATATTGGAATGAAAATTGTTGAATTTGCACATACTTCATCATACATACTAGTGCATACTTTATAAACTTATATAAACTTGAAGGAAAATCAAATCTACACAATCTGCACCCCTGTCTGCCTGGACATGCCCTACATAGAAATCCCTGCATATTTTGACTTTACACATGGTTGTTGCGAGATGGAATTTATCTGCCAGGTCAGGCAAGCAATGTTTAATTAATCTACTAGTATCTTGTTACTAAATCAAAGAAATCTAGCAAACATTTCTGGCATCTTGCATATCAATACTGGAAGTCTACTATGATAAGAACATACACTCACATTACTCATTAAAAGCAAATGGACTATTAATGGCCGTATTTTGTGCTAAAAATAATTGAGAAACTGTGCTCACTCATTTCTTTTACTGATTTTTGTTTACTCTTCTTGTATATAATTTCAAGCCTTCATTACAATATTTTTGTCTGAATACTATTCAGATAAAAATCCTCTGATAACAGAAAGAATAATGATAATTCTAATCATACAATAGGCCTATAACACAGTAAGCTTTCATTTGTTTAAATGCTTGTAAGGTTAATCCATAATCTTGCACAAAAATCCGATCGCAAAAGCCTTCCTATGCTTTATTATCGATAGAAGTATACATCTGTCCATATATATTTGCATGCATACTATTATCAATAATAAAATAGTGATTTTTTTTTTTTTAAATGGTTGTTTCCTATTCTCCACAAAAACTCAGTCTGTGCTGAAATTAAGATTGGCCATTCCACAGATGAGATAAAGTGGAGCCTGTTTTTCTTTCTCTCAAATTATTTGTTGTTGATTTGAAGACGTTCTTTTCTATAAATAATATATTAACATTCTATGTCAATGTTCCATCTCTTCTTCTTCTTCTTCTTCTTCATCAGACGATGCTTCACTATCTATATCTCCATCTTCTTCGTCCTCCTCTTCTTCCTCTTCTTTTCCTTGCCTCTCCATCCAATCCTCCTGATCACCTTCCCCTGGTCCCAGTGATGTAAGAAGCTCATCTATATGTACCAAGACCTCCTCATCA